GAGGAGGTGGGGCTTTGGGAAGACAGCCAAGGGTTAAAAAGGACCAAGAAGCTGTTGAAAAGGAGAGGATGGTTAAGGAAAGAGAAGCCCCAGATGGGACGCCTTTTCCAACCTTGGGAGGGTAAACACAGCAAGAATCTAGGACTGCAGTCCCCCGCCAGCAGATTGTCCAAAGAGACGAGTTCAGAGGCTGGAGGTTTCAGTTCCAAAGCTCTTACCCCCCTGGGGGCTTTGTGCTGACTCTCAAGCCTGAAATAAAGTCCTTTAGTGAAGGACTCTTTAAACATAGCGTGTATGTGCCTGGCTTGCTAATGGGCAGGCGGTTCTGCTGTAGCCAGCGCCATCCCTTCCTTTGACAATAAGGAGTTTGTGGGCAAGGCTGCACTTGGAACTCAGATAATCCACTTCTGTCATACTCTCTGTTCTAGCTCCTTTTGTTTTCTCCAAGACTTTAACAAACCCTTATTTGAAACACTGCCCCTTATCACATCTGTGCTGCTCACAAAGAAAGGAGGGGAGGGGAGTGGCAGCAAAGGCAGGGGAGCCCTCCCCAGGAGAGTGGGGGAGCGCTCTGTGACCTAGCTGCCCTTCCCTTTTTGGGGTTCTCTCTCCATCTGGGACCTCACACGTTAAGAATGACAATAGATTCCTCACAGGTGGGTCAAAGACAGCAGTGGGCAAGGTTTGTCTGCAAACCGCTGGGAGGAGAGAGGAAGCCAAGGGGAGAGGCGGGTGTGGAAGGCAGGATGGTAGATGTTACAGAGCATGGAGGCTAGCGGACAGGTCCTGTGAAGAGACCAAGGCTCAGCAGTGAAATAGTTTGTCCAAGGTCACACAGTGAGGCAGTTGACAGCACCTTGGAAAGCCGTGCTTTTAGGTTTGTTTTGCCCAGAACATGGAAGAGAGGGCTGGCTCCCAGCAATCCTCTAGAATGTGGATGACAGGCCATACAGATGGGAGTTCCCTGGTGATCCAGTTGTTGAGAATCTGCCTTCCAATGCAGGAGCTGTGGTTTCGATCCCTGGTCATGGAACTAAGATCCTACATGCCTCGGAGCAACATCCTGAAGAGACAGAAAGCCCCCCTGCCACAATGAAGAGCCCCCCCCTCCGCCCCCACTGATGGAATACTATTCGTGGCTCATCTGCAGGTCAGGAAGGACTGGGGAGGCCCAGCACAAATGGAGAGGTGGCTGGAGCCTCCTTCATGCAGAGGATAACATCTGAGGGGAGGGAATGGGGCCAGGACTCTGCTCTTTCTTTTGGGACTCCAGGGTTTGAAGTGGCCTCTAAGGGTAGCCTGACACAGTAGGGGTCCCACTGAGTTACAGGATCAGCTCCTGGTTGGGATGCCTTTGTATTTTGCAGGTGAGGACTTTCCTGCTGCTCTTTCAACCTGCAAGTTTGGGAACATGGGGTAGCTGCATGGAGATGGTGGCTAAGGTGAGGGGGCAGCTTGGGGGATACACAGCTTAGACTGTCATTCCTGCCCGCTGTGGAGCCCCAACCAGAAGGTGGAGTCTGATTTCTTGGGCAACATGGGGTTGTCTACTTCAGGGCATATGCCCACTCCTGACCTCTCGTCCAGGTTGGTCAGTTTCTTCTGAGCAGAGGGATCTGGACTGACCTAGGGTAGCTTAGCTGGTAAAGAATCCACCTGCAATGCAGGAGACCCTGGTTCGATTCCTGGGTCAGGAAGATCCCCTGGAGAAGGGATAGGCTACCCACTTTCTGGGTTTGATCCCTGGGTTAGGAAGATCCCTTGGAGGATGGCAAGGCAACCCACTCTAGTATTCTTGCCAGGAGAATTCCCATGGACAGAGGATCCTGGCAGGCTATAGTCCATGGGGTCGCAAAGAGTCAGACACAACTGAATGACTAAGCACAGCACAGAGAATCATTTGGGGTTCAGGCCTGGAAAGTTGCTTGTGACCATTCGGTGCTATCTGGGCCTGGTGGATGGGGAGGGCTCAGTGGCCTGGCATGGGGCTAGGTTAGAAGGATGCAGTCACTCTATGTCATGGGGAGATAAATATTCTGGATTCCTGATCATCTCCCTGGGGGGCTAAGACTCTGGTCAACAAAATTAAAGCTGTTCCTGGGATCCACAACTTTGTGATCCTGGAAAGATTGGGGTGGGATCACTGGTCCATAGCTGTTTTGCCCGCAACCCAACCCTTGCCTTTTCATCACTCACCCATCAGCGCCCCTGATGACTAACTCCTCCATCTGAGAGTGAGTGGTTCAGCCTGATTTGAATGAGGGGTAGGGCCTTGGCATAGTGAGCCCATGTGGGCTGAGAATTGGATTGTGTGTGTGTGTGTGTCTGTCTGTCTATCTGGCGGGAGCAGGGATGGAGTGTCTATCCAACAGGGTGGAGGAGGGGCTGAATTTGGTGGGTAACTGGCTCCCACTGCAGCAAGCAGCGCCCCCTGCTGCCCACAGGGGAAACAGCAGCTTGAATCTGGGTGGGTCCTCTTCTACTTGGAGGGACCTCGAAGCAGCTCAGTCCATCCTCTGGTGGCTCGTGTTCCTTTGGGGTCTGCAGGCCTCTTGTTGGATTCTGGCTCCTGGAGGGGAGGGATCCAGAGGAAGCTGCGGGCCCGCGGTGGGGAGGGTGTGGGTGCTCGCATCATAGGAGTCCTGGGGGACGAGGCTGCTTCTGCTGGGGTCCAGCTATGACCGGGGAGGCCAACGTGTTCCCAGGTCAGGCCCTCTGGAGAGACCCCAGCCAGGGACCGACATGCAGAGCACAGCGGGCAGTCCTGTGCATAGAGGCCTGGACATGCGCTGTGAGCTCTGAGTGGCCGGGACCTGGTGAATACACACCCAGAGCATTTTCCCATGGCTTTGCTGCACCCAGAAGGGACGGGTAGGGTTCCCAGTTCTCGGAGGGCTCTCCCATCCCCACCGTGCTGGAGGCCCTGCACAGAGGCTGCGCAGGGAAGAAGCGGCTCAGGTCCGCTCTGAGTTTTGTCTAATTTTTTTCCAGGCTGGTGCGGGGCTTGAGTGCTGTATTCCTAGTTTGTGGCCGGAGCCCCAGAGACCATCTCGAATGTGCAGGGGCCCAGCCATTGCAGGAAGAGGAGGCAGGGGTGTGCATCTAGTGAGCACCGGCCAGGGACTTTCCAGCAATCCCCTCCCCTCCCCTCCCCCGGCCAGGCGCTGTCCCCACCCCGCCTGAGCCCTCTCTCTGTAGTCTTGCCCCAAGGGACTTTTATTCTGAAAGAGCCTCTGTAGGTAAGGAGGTGACCAGAGGCTGGAGCTGGCCTGGCCTCTGGACAGGCCCTACCCTTCTGGGCTGTTTTCCAGGGCAGTGATTCTGGGCCCCTATGGGAGGAGCCATGCTGTCTTCAGTTGTCCTTCTTACCTTCTGTCCCCAGCCTTGCTGGACTGTAGGCAAAGGTCTTTGAGGTCTGTTGCCTTCACACCTACTATTGCCTTCACACTGTCATGTCCCTCATCTTTCAGGTCCTTGGCCTTGAACCCTCTGAGAAATGGAGTCGTAGTACATGCCTGCTCAGTTGTGTCCGACTCTTTGCAACCCCACGGACTGCAGCCCACCAGGCTCCTCTGTCCATGGGGTTCTCCAGGCAAGAATACTGGGGTGGGTTGCCATTCTTTTCTCCAGGGGATCTTCCTGACCCAGGGATTGAACCTGGGTCTCCTGCAGCTCCTGCTTTGGCAGGTGGATTCTTTACTACTGTGCCACCTGGGAAGCCCAGCTATATCATTAAACAAGGATGTCACGGCCAACATCCAACATCCAACATCGACCGGCCCTCCCAAGGTGAGTTTCTGAGCCCGGAGGGCAACCAGGAAGAATGCCTGCAATCCAGCAGCTGTCAGGCTGCAGCCATTCCCTACGGTCCATCAGTTGAGGAACTAAGGATGTGCAAATCAAATCACAAATCAAATCAAATCGCAGGATGCTGCCCCCAGATAGCTGAGGTGCATATGAAAAGAATGCTTTCAGTCAGCCCAGGCTCTTGCATCTTCCCATACATAGAGAAGAGCTAAATTCCTTAACTTGAGATATCTGGTTTTCCTTAATTAACAATAATCTTTTGATGTTCAGACTATCTGCCCCTTGTTGCAGGACTTGACATAACCTGAATGACAACCCCCACACCCCAACAGTTCTCTCAGTGTCACTTGAGATGCTGTCTTCTGGGTCTGAAGTCTTAAAAATCCTCACTAAATAAAACATAACTCTGAACTTTCAGGTTGTGACTATTTTTAAGTGGACACCTTCATCCGTTTCCCTTTTCAGTCCTTTTTGACCCTCTTGTTGCCTGTCCTTCCCAAAGCAGACATGGAGACCAGCTCACTATTTAGAAACTTTCCGCCTCCCCTGGCACCAGATAAAGGTCTCACCCTGACCCATCCCTCTTCCCCAACATGTAGGATGCAAGCATACAATGGGCAAGGCTTATTAGGTGTCAGTCAACAAGTCTGTTGAACTTTGTGTGGCTGGGGCCATGCCTTGGGCCTGGTTCTATTAAGCCTGGGGAATTTCTCAAGAAGAAGGACAAGGAACGGGATAAGAGCCCCAATAGCTCCAGCTTAGATTCTCGAGAGTCCAGTCACTCTTTCTCAAAAGTTCCACCAGGATGGAGTTTCCACTAATGCTCCAGTGCATGAAGCTGAGTGCTTTCTTAGATGGAAAATAAGAGGCCAAATGAATGAAAGAGAGCAGAAGTCCATTATTCTCAAAGGCCCTTTCCCTTTGCGTGTTTCTCTCATCCAGGAGGCCAGACCTTGAGCTGGATATGAGGTCACTATTGGGCAGTGGAATGTGAGAAGGAAAGGACTTTGGCCCGGGGGCTGCAAGTTACAGATTAACATGGGGCGGGGGAGGGGGGATGCAGAGGCAGGGTAAGTGGCCTGGGACAGGGACTGCTGACCTGGGGCCCTCTGGGCTTGAAGGGGACACAGGCAAGAGGAATCTGGGGACCCATGTGGTCCAGGAGGGGAGGGGGGCCCTCAGTTCCTCTCCGGCTACTTGACTTTCCTGAAGATACACTGGCACAATGCATCCCGTGCGGTCACTTCCTGGGGGCAGAGTAGGAATAATAAGGACAGAGAAGATTCTTACCAGCCACCCCCCTTTCTCAAGGTTCTTGACCTTCACTGAATCCTTCAGGATACGTCAGCTGGAGTGTTTGATATATGGGGAACTGTATCCTTTTTCCAAACCCTCAACTTTCCACCCCAGAGGAAGGAAGGGAGCTGGTCAGGGAGCTGAAGTGGCTAAGTCTCCAGGTCTCCGGTCATGATTTATGGACACGCATCTGACCTGCAGCCAGGGCCCACCATGGCCACTGGAGTTCTTCCTCTCTCCATTCTTCCCAGGGCTCCCATTTCCCTTCCTAAGCTGCCTTCTTTGGCAGGGGGCAGGCTGGAGTAGTAGACTTACTTGATTTGGGCAAGGGAATGGGTCCTAGCTGGAGGGCCCCCTCCCAGAGACACCCTCCGGCATCTCCTCTCCCAGTCCCCACCCCACTCACCTGATATAACATCTCTCCCTCCAGCCAGAGTCGCCAGCCCCGGTTAGGGATCTCTCCTTTCTGCACGCAAACCAGCTGTTCCCCTTCCCAGGTGACTATGGACTATGGAGAAAGCAGGAATAAAGGAAGACTACGGGGCATTGTAGGGCACCCCAATGCATCGCCCTACTCTGTTTGGGCTGCCCCCACCCTCTGCATCACAGCAGATGCTGTCTTGCTCCAGCCCTTTCCTTCTGAGTGACTCAGCAAAACTCCTCTCCCCTTCCACTCCTAAAGGCCACTGGAAGGGGCCCCACACCGTGTGACAGTGAGAGCGGGGATGAGCAGGATAATCCCGGGGTTGGGGGAGATGAAATTTGGGGTTGGGTGATGAAGAATGGAGAATTTGTCCTCTGATACTTCTGGCTGACCCAGAGGAGACTTTGGGAAAGAAGGGAGATTGGTTGGGAGACAACTAGGGAATTTCTTTTCTCCTCTTTCTCAGTTTCAAGGGCAGCTGCAATGTCCCTGAGAATGAAGGGTCAACTCCCCAAATCAGAGCTGAGTGGACCAGAACTAGGCATTCCAAGCAGCATTATTTAGACCTCCAATAGGCTATGTGTGTGCTGAGTTGTCCAATTGGGTCCGACTCTTTGTGGCCCCATGGGCTGTAGCCCACCAGGCTCCTCTGTCCATGGGACTTTTCAGGCATGACTACTGGAGTGGGTTGCCATTTCCTCCTCCAGGGGATCTTCCCAACCCAGGGATCGAACCCCCACCCCTTGTGTCTCCTGCTTTGGCAGGTGGATTCTTTATCACTAGTGCCACCTTGGAAACCCCAATAGGATAGGCCCTACCCAAACCAGGAGTTTAGAATCTTATGCATTTTTTTTTTTTCAGCCATACCACATGGCTTGTAGGATCTTAATTCTCCAACAAGGGATGGAACCCAGGTCCTCAGCAGTGAAAGCTTGGAGTCCTAACCACCAGGAAATTTCCAAGGAGTTCAGAATCTTGATCGGTTAGAGGAGAGGTCAGTAGGTGTTATATCTGTGATACCAACAAGACAGTTGGTGAAGGGAGCAGAGAGGGAAGAGTGGAGTATTCAAGGAAGGGAGTTAATTGGATGGGAGATAATGGGAACTTTCTAGCAAGAAAAGAAACAGAGGTAAGGAAGATGAGTAGATAGTTGTGAGGGGGCTCTAACCTAGTGTTTTTGTGGGAAGGCCCTTGGATGGTACGTGGAGTGTGTGGACCATACCTGGAACATAGCAGGTTGTCTGAAAGGGTTTGAGTCAGCAACTGACATGATCACTTTTACATTTTAAAAGTACTGTGGTTATGGTAGGCAGAGTGGATTAGAGGAGAGTCAAGAATGGGAACCAATTTTGGGCACCAGATGAGAAATAAGGGCCTGAAATAAGGTGGTGTTAGAAAAGCTAGGATGAAACAGATGACAGCCATGTAAACAACTGATGCTCAACAGGAATCTAGTGAGTCCTAAATGCTAGCCACATATATAATTTAAAAAATTTCTAGTAGCCACATTAGAAAAGCAAAAAAGAAACAGGTGAAATTAATTTTAGTATTATATTTTATTCACCTAAAATATTATAATTTTATTATATGTAATATTATATTATATGTATTTTCAACCTAAAATATTATAATATTTCAACATGTGATCAATATAAAATTTCTGAGGTGTCTTATACTCTTGTTTGGTATTGTTTTAAAAATCCAGTGTGTATTTCATACTGATAGCACATGTCAAATTTGGACCAGTTACATTTCAAATATGTATATATGGCTAGTAGCTGCCATATTGGATAGCACAGAACAGTTATAAAGGCTTCTGGACTAATTACATGTGGTGCACATGTGCACGCATGTGTGTGTGTGTGTGTATACATGCATGTGTTGGGAGAACAGAGGTAAGGAAACACAAGGCAATAACTGTGACTCCCAGGCTTTGCTCCTGCTGGTTATTGCCATTGATGGAGACAGTAAGTATAGAGGCAGGAAGAGGTCTGTGTAGGAAGATAATGACTTTGTGTTTGACCTTGGGGCATGCAGATGGAAACATTTTGCAGGCAGTTGAAATTTGGCCCTGGAGCTCAGGTGGCACCTCTGCTGGAGAGTTTGTGTCTAGAGCAGTTTGTAGATTTCATTGAACACATGGGTGTATATGCTTTAGCCCATGGATAGTGCACAGACAAGAGGGAGAAAGCCGAGAACAAGATACTAGGGGACTGCAGCACTATTTGCAAGAGCTAGGACACGGAAGCAACCTAGATGGCCATCAACAGATGAATGGATAAGAAAGCTGTGGTACATATACACAATGGAATATTACTCTGCTATAAAAAAGAACACATTTGAGCTATTTCCAATGAGGTGGATGAACCTAGAACCTGTTATACAGAGTAAAGTAAGTCAGAAAGAGAAAGACAAATATCGCATATTAATGCATCTATAGAGAACCAAGAAAGATAGTACTGATGATCCTATTTGCAAGGCAGCAAAGGAGACACAGACATTTTGGACACAGTGGGGGAAGGAGATGGTAGGATGATTTGAGAAAATAGCATTGAAATATATATATTGCCATATGTAAAATAGATAGCCAGTGGGAGTTTGATGTGTGATGAAGGGAACCCAAAGCAAGTGCTCTGTGACAATCTAAAGGGGTGGGATGGTGAAGAAGGTGGGAGAGGGGCTCAAGAGGGAGGAGACCTATGTGAACCTAATGTCGATTCATGTTGGTGTGTTGTAAAAACCATCACAATATTGTAAAGTAATTATCCTCTAATTAAAAAAAAAAGATACTAGGGGAAAATCCCAGTTTAAGGGATTAATAGGGGAACTAGGGTCTGCAGAGGTCAAAAGGAACACGAAAGAAGCAGAAAGGACTGCACAGGAGCGGATTTACAGAGGTTGAGAGAAGAGACCATGGTGTCCACAGGGTCACAGGCTAGAGGGTGAGCACAGGCTTGTTCATTGGCCTGAGGGTAACCTGTTCCTGTTGCCCTTTCAGCTGGGCTCAGAGGGGGCAGAGGAGACGCTGGAGAGAATTGGGGTGTGGGTGGGTGACATCAGCAGTCTGTTATCCCAGGGCAGGCTGCTGTTGTCATCGCTTCCTCTTGCTGTGACAGGTCATTTTATTTCACCCCCAGTTGTTAAGAGCCCCCGTGCCCATCCACAGCCCCTTCCCACAGGCCTGAGAAAGACACCTGGCACTTGCGTCCATCCACGATCCTCAGGTCCTCCTCAAACTCCACTCCCACCTCGAATTCCAGAATGTAGTTCCGGAAGGTGCTGAGGGTCTTCACCGTCATGTGGGCGCCCTGCTGGTCAATTTCCTTGTCCGGCTTGAGCAGCAGGGCAATCTTCCGCAGAGCCATGTTGATATCTGTAGGGACCGTCTCTGAGCAAGGGTCTGAGGGTCCTTTTAGCGGGCCAGGGGCTTCCCCACCCGCATCAGCAGCTGGAAGCATCCCCTTGCCCGGGTCTGGGACTGGGGATTTACTTCCTCCTAGTAATGCCCCTGGCTAGAAAAGGGGCCCAAGTCAGGGGCCAGCACCCCCTACCCCCAGCCTGTCCATGATGTCCAGGCCCTAGCATCCCCCTACTCCTCAGTGGAGTCAGAGGCAGGAAGGGGGAGGAGAGGAGGTGAGTGAAAGGGTTGAGAGGGGCAAGGCCATTACTCAGAGCTTGCAGGTAGTCCTCCAAGTTCTTCTGCGAGACGAAGCGGTAGTAGCCAGTGAGGTTGGGAGGCATGGTCTAGGCAGGCCAAGGTAGAAGTCAAGATTTCAGGAGAATATAAGAGAGTGGGCAAGGAGGCAGGGGGTGTCCTCTGACAGGTGGGGCTGGGAGTCTCCCAGCCAGGCTCTGCACACACTGAGGCAGCCTGTGTAAGGTCCGAGCTACCAGGGTTTTTATAGCACCGGGGCCCTGCTGCAATAAGAGTTCCTGCCAGATTTCCTCCCTCCTTCCCCCATGATGAGCATGAGATTGGTGTCTGCAGCCCCAGAGATAGGCAGGAGACTTGGCAAGGCTGTGCCTGACCTCGGCTTTTCCTGAGGAAGGAACCTGGACCAAGACTGGGGGCTGTCAGTCAGGCAACACTTGAGCCTTTCTGAAGGTCAGTTCTGGCTTCCAGCCCATGTGTGGAAGGCTTGGGAACTGTCTGGAGCCCCTGGGGGGTACACTCCCCCAGGAGGGAGCCGATCTTACTGAATGGCGGGGAGGGACCTTTCAGGCTCACCCAGGGATGAGTTTTAACAATATCTCACCTGAGATCCTGGGGTTGGGTCAGGGATCCCAAAAGGTATGAAGGGGAGGAGGAGGTGGGGAAAGAAGTGCAGACAGCCAGCTGGCTGGGAGCCCCAGTGAAGAAAATCCTCGAGCTGGCCCCCACAGCTTGGTCACACAGCTCTGCTGAGCTGGGGCCCCAACGCTGGAGTTCAGGACCCTGTCCTGCAGGACCGTGAGGAGGGAAGCAGAGAAATTGCGGAGGAGGCTGTCTGACTTGCTGAGTTCAAAGTCTGGAGCAGAAGGTGAGGGAGGAGTTTGGCTGGCTGTTCTGGAGAATTCTACACTCTTTGGCTTGGGACCCAGGGATTTCCCCTCTCCCTCTGGAGTCGTGGATGGCACCATCACCTACCCTCATCCCTAGCCCTTGCACAGTCCATGCTTCCCAGATGTATTCCCTTGGAGGCGGAGGTGGTGTGCTCTAGCCCTCCCCCCCACCTCCCCACCACACTACACCGCACTCTTCTCTGCCTCTCAGACCTACCAACTTTTCCGGCTTCTGAACCAACTAGGGTGGTTTGGGTCAACACGGTTTAAGATGAGAAATTTGGGGAGAGGGAGGCAGGCATGGTAGACAGCAGGAAAAAAGGCGGTGAACCGTCCTGACAGGTGTGTGGGGGTGGGTGGGGGAGGTGGGGCACAGACATCTCGCTTTTCCTCGGGTCCCAGGGCGCGGTCCACCGACTTGCTGACCACCCCCTGGCTTCCTCAGAGACTCGGGGCTGGGACCTTTTGGCTAGCATCTCGGGCTCAGGTTGTGGGTTTTACTCGGCGGTTCCCAGGAGGCACCCTGCAGGGTCTTGCTGATGGAAGGGGCTGTGAAAAGAGGTTAATGCAGAGTTGGTGGTGGTGGTGGTGGTGGGGTGACGTGGATACTTGTCCCTCCTCGCCTCCCTCAGGTCTCCGTTTGACGTCTCCTCTTCCCACCCCCGGGCTTCTAGCTGCGCGATCCTCTCCCTGTCCCTCTTTTTCCCCACCTCCTCTACGGCCTTCCAGCTTCCTCCCTAGCCCCCGCAGTTCCCTAGCTCCCCCAAATTGCAGTCCGGGGAAAAAGCCCTAATATGTCCTCCCGCCCCTGCTCCCCAGTCCCATTGGCTCCCTCCCGCCCTGCAGCACCTGGCCCCCCCAGCCACCCGATTGGCCAGCGGCCCTATCAATCCTCGCCTGGCCGTGCTGACGTCATCCTGCAGTAGCGGGGATGGGGTGGGAATGAGAGAGAGAGAGAGAGAGAGAGTGAGGACGCCCGGCTCCGGAACGCAGGAGAAGCAGCCACTGCCGGTTCCCCCCTGCTCAGCCGCCCAGGTTGGGGTCTGCCCGGGTCTGCCCTATGGACTAGGGTGGGCGGCAGGCTCCTTTCCGTCTCTGCCCTGCTGTCTGCCCTCTCCCCTCTCCTCTTCGGAGAGCCCCTGCATCCCTTGCCCAAGGTGGAACAAGCAGGGCTCCAGGCTCTGGGGGAGAGCAATCGGGGCCCTGGCTTGCCTACACCACGCCATGACCCCCCTGCTGTTTCCCCTCTTGCTGGCCTCCCTGCTCCCCTCCAGCTCCTGTAACAAAGGTGAGTGTGGTGGTGGTGGGGCACAGAGGGAGGGGGTCTCAGGCCCCGCGATGTGGAGGTCGAGGCGGGCAGGCGCCCTTTAGGGGCACGACAGGTGGTTCTTCGCACCATCCCCCTTCCCATCCATTTTCTCAGACCTGTCCCCTTCTCTTCTGGCTGGCATCCCCAGAACCTCTCTCTGGTCCCTCCTTTCTGGTCCGTCTCTACCCATGTGTTTCTTTTGCTCCCAGGTTGGTCCCCATTCCCATCCTGGGGTCTGTATCTTGTCCCCCCCCCCCCCCCACTATTGCTCCCTGCTGGAGCGATCTCGGGTCTCAGAAGGACCTGTCCCTGAGGGGGTGATGGACCTCTCTGGGCGGGTCCCCGTTTCGCGGGGTGTGCCGGCGCTGAGGGTGTGTGGCCATATCCATCTGGTCCCTCTCCATCTCATCCCGGGGAGGAACTGTTCCGCAGTTCAGCAATTCGGAGCACGTATGTGTTGGCGTGTTCCTCTGCATCCATCCCCTTCCGCCTGCATACACGGCTGGGCTGAGGGTTACCAGAGCTGCCCTCTCTGGCAGACGGCTGATAAATTTAGCTGGGGTGAGGCCGTTAGAGGGGCCAGGAGAGAGGGAGGGGGTGAGGGCCAAGGGTTTAGTTAGGTGGAGACCGCAGGAAAGGGCAGAGGTGTGTGTGTGTGTGGGGGGGGTGCTAATGAGTGGGGAGAGGGGAAGGGAGAAGGAGAAGGGAGGTGAAGCGTGGGAGGGGATGAGAAAGGGATGGACCAGGGTCAAGGTAGAGGCAAAAGGAGAGGGGGAGAAATCAGGAAGAACAGGTGAGTAGCGGGTGAGGGGAAGAGCTCAGGAGGGAGGAGGCAGGGAGTCCAGGAGTCAGTGAGAGGAGATGGACAGAAGGAGAGAGTCAGGGGCCAAGAGGAAGGAAGCGGGGAGGCCCGGGAGAGGGGGCAGGGCGAGGGGTGGTGGTGAGCTGTGTGCAGTCTCTCCATCTTCAGCACAGTCTCTGACCTCAGTGGGCTTCTTAGCCTCCGGACACATCCTGTGCTGCCTTCTAGGCACCATCTGTGGCTTTCTCCTCTGCCCCTAGGGAAGGGGGTTGTGGTGGTCCTCAGCGAGGAAGGGGCAGGCATACGAGATACCAGAAGGCTTTGGGGGTGTCACTGGAGGAAAGAATGGAAATCAGGATTTCTCGCGCACCATGACAAGCTGGGGATGAGTGTCCTTTGGGTGACTCAGTTTCTCTTTGACGATAAGTCTTCAGCTCTCAATGATGGGCCCTTGTGGATGTGCTTTGGGAGCTTGGCGCTTTGGCTTGATCGGATTTGATAGAGCAGGCAGTGGAAGTTGGGGTTGGGGGTGATGTAGAGGGGGATGGAGCCCACTGAACCTTCCCCAGAGCCAATGGCGAGTGGGCACTTGGTCCTGGGAGGAGACGGGATTGAGTTGAGTCTGGTAGCGGTTGAGGAGACATGGAGGCTGAGTGGGTTGCACTCCTGTCGTGGATTGCCTGGTGGTTGAAGGGAACAGGGGTGGGATAGGCGAGAATTAGGACTCAGCCATGACTCCATAAGAAGGGGGTTCTGGGCGTGTGGGGTTTGGTGGCCTTCTGGGGGACATAGGAGTCAGATGGTTATGATTATGAGTGTGTTCTTTTGGGTGTGAGAGTGAGAAGCGGGGAGGGGATTTGTCGAGTTTCTAGGCCAGTTCGATAATCCCTGAGGATGCCAGCTCTGCTGGGCCCAGTCGTTTGGCATTGATTCCTCTGCTCCATCCCTGCCTGCTCCCTGCTCAGAGGGAGCTGTCCCCCTCCCTCTGTCCTATATATCTCCCTTCTCCCTTCTCTCCTCTTTCCTCTCCTCTGGGAGAACGGCCTTAGGATGGGGCTTAGCCAGGAGAAGAAGGGAACAGGACTGAAATGGGGTGGTGGTCGTGATGGAGAGGATCAACAACGGACCTCAGGAAATGTCAAGTCTTCTTTTCCTAATCTCCACTCTGCCCTTAATCTATCCCTTCCCTTTCCTAGGGCCCTCTAATGGCCCATTGCTGCTCCCTGGAGGCCCAACGTCCACACTCCAGCACTTGAAATGCCTAAGAAAATTCTCCATCCTTTGACGGTTTCCCAGGGGAGATAGGAGGACCTCTTCCTCCCCCCAGGGCAGGCTGTTGCCATGGAAACTGTCTATCCAGTGACCTCCCGCAGGCCCTCTGACTCCTTTCATGGCTGATTTCTTGCCCTCAGCCCTTCCTCCTGCAGGCGCTTCTGCAGGGGCTGAAGAGGGTGGTGAGCCTGGAGTGTGCTGTTTAGGTCAACAAGGGTTGTGTGGCTGTGGAGGGCCAGCTCACAGGTGCTTCCTCTCCTCTCCCTGGGGGCGGGGTCAGCCAACAAGCACAAGCCGTGGATCGAGGCAGAGTACCAAGGCATCGTCATGGAGAATGACAACACGGTCCTGCTGAACCCACCACTCTTTGCGTTGGACAAGGATGCTCCCTTGCGGTATGCAGGTAAGTAGGGCTGGGGCAGGGCAGGGTGGGTGGGACAGAGAGAAGTGGGCAGGACAGAGAGAAGTGGGCAGGGAGGGCAGGGGCAAGGGAGGAGGGGGGAGGTCCTGGGAGGGAGAGCAGTGAGGACTTGGGCAACGTGGAAGAAGGAGGCTCCAGGAGGGAGCCGGGTGATGGTGGAGATCAGTGGCACAGTAAAGGGAGTCAGAGGAGGATGTGGGCAGGCAGGGGTTAACGCATCCAGATTTTGCCAGCTCTCAGAGCTGGTGGCTCAGAGGTTGTCACTCAGGGAACCTGGGGTTGGAGTGAATGTTCCATAATTAATGCTTTTCCATGTGCAAGAAAAAGGACTGGGTCTGGGAGGAGAGGTGAAGTGGGGGCCTGAGGGGAGGTCGGCGAGCGATGGAAGGAGACCCTGGAAGTGGAGCAGGAACCTCATCCTTACCTCCCCAACCCCCTGCCCCCGGCCAGGTGAGATCTGTGGCTTCCGGCTCCATGGGTCTGGGGTGCCCTTTGAGGCCGTCATCCTGGACAAGGCAACAGGAGAAGGGCTGATCCGGGCCAAGGAGCCAGTGGACTGCGAAGCCCAGAAGGAGCATACCTTCACCATCCAGGCCTATGACTGCGGCGAGGGCCCGGACGGGGCCAACACCAAGAAGTCCCACAAGTGAGGACATCCCTGCCCCTGCCCTTGCCCTCTGCTGCAGGTGGCCCGCCCCCCCAAGACCAGGCCCCTTCCTTCCCTCTGTCCTCACTGTCTTGACGATCTATCCCCTCCCCTCTTTGTTCATGGGGTTTAGGAGCCTTCAGCCAAGGGAGACAGGAGCATGTGGTGAAACTCAGAGGGACCCAGTCTGGGCTTTATCTCTTTTGACCACGGACAGCTTTAGTCTTTCTGGATTTGCTTTCCCTTGTCTGTAAAATGGAGCAATGATGATGCCTGCTTCTTCAGGTCACTGTGAAGATGAAAGGAGATGGTTTGTGTCAAAAGCAGGCACTGCGGTGCCTGCCAGTTGGGAAAGGATTCAATACACAGAGACAGGATACTACGAGAGTGAGGAGGAGGATGGCACTTTAGTACACACCCGGATTCCTTCCCACTGCCCGGCACTGTGTGTACCACACTCACACATAGAACGTGCACTATGCAGATGCACAGCAGTGGGTAATAGTGGGCAGGAAGGAGGCTGGGACCTGGGACTCCTACCTCTATCTGCTCCCAGCTCACTTCTCACTTGAGAATGGTGGGAAGGTGGGCAGTCAGGACTCCCGGGTCACTATGAGGCGCTGGATATAAATTGCTTTGCGTGATGACTCAGTTTCCCATTTGGAGATAGGACCTTTGCCTCTGGGCTTTGGGTACCTGGATTTGGGCTGGGGGCAGGGCTCAGCATGAAGGGTTTCACCCCACCCCTGCCTCCTCTGCTTGCCCTATGGGGGCCGGAGTGGGGAGCAGCCACAGCTCACTGCACACATCAGATGACTTGAGACTCTGGTACAAAACCACTTCTCTGAATATGTGTGTGTGCTCAGTTGCTTCAGCTGTGTCCAACTCTGCGACCAACCCCATGGCACCTCTGTCCATGGGGTTCTCCAGGCAAGAATACTAGAGTGGGTTGCCATGTCCTTCTCCAGGGGATCTTCCAGACCTAGGGATCGAATCTGTGTCTCCTGCTTCTCCTGCATTGCAGGCAGATTCTTTACCGCTGAGCCACTGGGGAAGTCACTTCCCTGAATATGGTTAGTTTTATTTTGGCTTTTATTCTGCATCTGCCTTGATTGGACCTGACTTCATGAAAAAACAACCTGCTGGATTCGGAATCCTGTCTCACATGTCTTGCCATCCTATCCTTTAATATTCTGTACAGAAGTCATCAAAACCAGCCACTGATGGCCCCCAGGGTCATTTTCACCATGTACATCAGTCACCCTTTCTTCTGAGGTTCCTCTCTCTTTGTGGTACCTGGTACCCCTGGGTGGGGGTCAGATGAATGTGACCAGGCTCTGGGTCACACTGGTTCCATCTCCTTGGCTTCCGGTGTGGACCCCCATCTGTGGCTGACTCTTCCTTTTTCTCTTTTTGTGCTGGCACCCGCAGGGCCACCGTGCACGTGCGGGTCAACGACGTGAACGAGTTTGCCCCAGTGTTTGTGGAGCGGCTGTACCGCGCGGCAGTGACCGAGGGGAAGCTGTACGACCGCATCCTTCGGGTAGAAGCCATCGACGGCGACTGCTCCCCCCAGTACAGCCAGATCTGCTATTATGAGATCCTCACACCCAACACCCCCTTCCTCATCGACAACGATGGTGAGTCCAGTCCCTGCCACTCCAGCTGCTCAGCCCTGGGCGCCCACATCCCTCGTGATGCCCTGGGGCTGCACCCTCCACTTGCTCTGTCCCTCACCTCCTTATTCCTCACCCTGCTTTCCAGACATGGAACTTCTTTCCCCAGATTCCTTCCTGCCTGCTTCCTGCTGCCTAATTCACCTGCTGCCCTAAAGTTAGCTCCTGAGTCCTCCCCCAGACTTGCTTTGGTGCCCCTGACCCTCTCTGTCCCCCACCCCAGGGAACATTGAGAACACGGAGAAGCTACAGTACAGTGGCGAGAAGCTCTACAAGTTCACGGTGACAGCTTATGACTGCGGGAAGAAGCGGGCGGCGGACGATGCCGAGGTGGAGATCCAGGTGAAGCCCACGTGTAAACCCAGCTGGCAAGGTGAGGGGCTACGCGCCGGGGCCTGTGATCCATCCTTCCCCTTGGTCTCCCTCCTCCTCCCTTCTGACAACCACAGGGGCCAGGCTAGGAGCTGGGGACGGATATTTGGTGGGGGCCATCTGATGCGAAGAGCTGACTTATTGGAAAAGACCCTGATGCTGGGAAAGATTGAGGGCAGGAGGAGAAGGGGACAGCAGAGGATGAGATGGTTGGATGGCATCATCGATTCAATGGACATGAACTTGGGCAAACTCTGGGAGATGGTGAGGGACAGGGAAGACTGGCGTGCTACAGTCCATGTGGGTGGACACGACTGAGCAACTGAACAACAACATTTGGGGGGCAGGCTTGTAGCTGTCTCCCCTGGCTGGCCATTTTCATATGAACCTGAGACCATCAGTGAACATGAGCAGAATGGGTAGGAAGGGTTGCCTTAACCGGCTCTGCCCCACTGCTTGCTCCCTCTCACCCCTGCAGGCTGGAACAAAAGGATTGAATATGCACCAGGCGCTGGGAGCTTGGCTCTGTTCCCTGGTATCCGCCTGGAGACCTGTGATGAACCTCTCTGGAACATTCAGGCCACCATAGAGCTGCAGACCAGCCATGTGGCCAAGGGTTGTGACCGTGACAACTACTCAGAGCGTGCGCTGCGGAAACTCTGTGGTGGGTGTGGTCCCCTGTGGCCCTCCCCCCATCCTCCCTGCCTGTGCCCACCGCCCATTCCCCCAGCCTTTTCCCGACCCTCCTCTACCTCTCTAAGAATCTGTCTTGGGACTTCCTTAGCAGTGTAGTGGTTAGGACTACATGCTTTTCACTGCAGAGGGCACAGGTTCAATCCCTGGTTGGGGAACTAAGATCTTGCAAGCCATGCTGTGCCCAAAGACAAAAAGAATCTGTTTTACATCTTCCTTTGCCCATCCATAAGTGGAGTGAAAGTTGCTCAGTTGTGTCCAACTCTTTGCAACCCCATGGACTTTACAGTTCATGGAATTCTCCAGGCCAGAATACTGGAGTGGGTAACCTTTCCCGTCTCCAGGGACCTTCCCAACCCAGGGATCCCGCATGGCAGGTGGATTCTTTACCAGCTGAGCCACAAGGGAAGCCCAAGAATACTGGAGTGGGTAGCCTATCCCTTTTCCAGCAGATCTTCCTGACCCAGAAATTGAACCAGGGTCTTTGCATCGCAGGCAAATTCTTTACCAACTGAGCTACTAGGGAAACCCATCCATAGATGTATATATATCAGAGCTTCCCAGGGGGCGCTAGTGGTAAAGAGCCTACCTGCCAATGCAGGAGACATAAAAGAGACTCAGGTTTGATCCCTGGGTGGGGAAGATCCCCTGGAGGAGGGCATGGCAACCCACTTCAGTATTCTTACCTGGAGAATCCCATGGACAGAGGAGCCTGGTGGGCTGCAGTCCATGGGGTCACAAAGAGTTGGGCACGACTGAAGTGACTTAGCATAGCACACAGAGACGTCTGTATCTATGGGGGTTGTAGCTTGTGGTTGTCTCTTGTGGTCCAAAGAGCACATAAACATGTGGTTGGCAAAGGTACATGATTGTGGCCCAAGAAAATCACCAGATACAATACGGAACAATGGCAGGGAGCGATGAAGAGCTGGAGGCGCTGAGGTCACTGGAGAGCTATTCCTAGCCCTTCCTTTCTTATCTCTGAAAGGCCAGAGGAGGTGGTGAAAGTAGTTGTAAGGGATCTTTTCCTGCCTGCATCCTTTCCCCCATCTGCCGCCTCTTGGCTCTGACACCTGTGCTTCTGGGACTCCTGCAGGCGCAGCCCCCGGGGAGGTGGATCTGCTGCCCATGCCCGGCCCCAGTGCCAACTGGACGGCGGGCCTCTCGGTGCACTACAGCCAGGACAGCAGCCTCATCTACTGGTTCAACGGCACCCAGGCGGTGCAGGTGCCCCTGGGGGGTGCCGCGGGGCTGGGCTCCGGGCCCCCGGACAGCCTCAGTGACCACTTTACCCTGTCCTTCTGGATGAAGCATGGTGTCACTCCCAACAAGGGCAAAAAGGAAGAGGAAACCATCGTGTGTAACACTGTCCAGAATGGTGAGCCTTCCTTGGGGCACCCGTCTGAGCGTGGAGGGGGGGACTGGCTTCGTGTTCCCCCTCTGTCACTGTCCAGTCGGTGACTGTGGGTGGGTCACTTCTCTCTCCCTTCGTATGTAAGATGGCAGCGCTGGGTTTCACAGTGGTTTCACAGTCCCAGCAGGTTTCACGATCCCAGCAGGAGCCTACTGCTCTCAGCGTGATGGGACTGCTCACCGCCCTTCTCATTTGTAGCTGCCTGATCGCCTTGTATCCCCTGTGTAGTAGACTGCTCCCCCAATCTGCTCCCCGTAAAGCCCCCTATCAAAATGGAAGAGCCTGAGTAACGCTGTGCCCCATTCTTTCCCTTTCACCACCACTCTGTCCTCCTCCTATAAGGGCTCGTGAGCTCCAGCCTTCAGGACTCCCTTCCCTCTATGGCAGGGGGATGTCCCTCTCAGGGGGTCTCAGCCTTGAACTACTCTTTCATTCCTGCCTCTTCTTGGAGCTCATGTCTCTTGATCTGAAAAGGATCATTACCCATGAAGTTTGTATTAACCAAAGGAATAGTGAAGTTCTGGGTAGGGGCAGTTTGGTCACTGTCTCCCCTCAGCCAATCAGAGTGCCTGAGAAAAGCCCAACTCTGGACTCTGTGTGTATGTGTGAGAGTCTCAGAGAGAGCTGGAGAGAGAGTGACAGATTCTGGAGAATTAGAGACAGAACCTGAAGGAATGAAGGAATAAAGAGAATCCATGGAGCCCTCCCTTCTGGCGCTTTGAAGCTGTTCTTGCCTCCAGCGCTGTGTTTGACTCCTGTCCCCATCCTCTGCCCTCAGAGGACGGCTTCTCTCACTACTCGCTGACTGTCCACGGCTGCAGAATTGCCTTCCTCTACTGGCCTCTACTTGAGAGTGCCCGGCCAGTCAAGTTCCTCTGGAAGCTGGAGCAGGTGAGGCTGGAGCCAGGCTCCTGGGAAAGCTGGGTGGGTGTAACTTGCTTTCAGGGGAGGAGGTCCTAGGGCAGGGCTGGGCATTTCCTGGGTTGCCTTGCGCCCCTTTTTTCAATCTCCACTTTCAGTTCCTGACTATTCTTACATCCCCCTGCCCCTCTGCCCTGGCTCCATTCTCTGGTTCTCTTTTCCCAAGGCTTGTCTCCTGCAGAAAGCACTCCTGGGTTAAAAGGAAATAGGGACCAAATTACTGCTTACACCAAACCAACCAATCATCTGTCTCCTCTTGTTTTATTCATCTCTTTCTTATCTGGAAACTTAGTAGTGTGGATTCCAAACTCTCAAGCAGTTAGCATGTTGTAATCAAGGAAATAAGTAACCTAGGGTACCTCGATAGGGTTTTGGGCTTCCCTGGTGGCTCAGATGGTAAAGACTCTGCCTGCAATGCAGGAGACCTGGGTTTGATACCTGGTTTGGGAAGATCCCCTGGAGAAGGAAACAGCTACCCACCCTGATATTCTTGCCTGGAAAATTCCATGGGCAGAGGAGCCTGGCAGGGTACAGTCCATGGGGCCACAAAGAGTCAGACACGACTGAGCAATTGAACACATATATGTATATAAATCCTCACCATTATTCATGATTATGAGGGATAAATAAAATGATCAAAAAAAAAAAATCTCTTGAGCTAACAGTTGCAGCTTCTTCTTTATTCATCTCCAAGCTGACCACAGGTACCATGGGGACTAATTGAGTTTCCATCTCCTTCTGTTTTTCTTGTAAGCACTGGTGGAGTGGCTGAGTAAGCAAATGGCTGAAAAAAGGCAGGAAGTGGAAGAGAGAGAAAGGGGAATGAAAACCCACAAACTGGATAATTGAGGGCTACCTACAAAAGCTTCTGTTTTCTGTGGCACTCTTTTAAAGAGAGAGTCTGCCATCTGCTTCTTCTCGATCTTTCCCCCACATTGCTAATATTGGTAACATTCTTCTTGCTATTTTTCTTTTATTTATCCTTATTTATTCAACAAAGATTTAGTAAATACAAGTGCCCTGACATTCTGCTAGGTTATGGGGATACAATGCGATCTAAGATGGAATGAAATCTCTGCCTTCATTGAGTTTACATTTTAGTTGGGGAGATAGATTTTTAAAAGTAAGCAGACATGTAATAAGAGCTTCCCTGGTGGCTTAGATGGTAAAGAATCCACTTGCAATGCAGGAGACCCAGATTTGATCCCTAGGTTGGGAAGACCCCTTAGAGAAGGGAATGGCTACCCACTCCAGTATTCTGGCCTGGAAAACTCTATGGACAGGGAAGCCTGGTGGGCTATAGTCCATGGGGTCATGAAGAGTCAGACTTGACTGAAAAACTAACATTTTTACTTTTCAGACATAATAAAAATGATAAATTGTGCTAATGCTCTGAAGGAAGAATCAAGGAACTGAGGTAGAGAATAGGAGGCAAGGAGAGGGGAAGTCATCTCAGATTGGATGTTCAGGGAAGGCCTGATGGAAGCGAAATGTAAGCTCATCCTGAAGAATCCAGGCAGAGGGAAGAGCAGATGCAAAAGTCCTGACGCAGAAAAGTGTCCAGCATGTTCTAAGCGTGGAAAGAGGGCTAGGCCCAGTGAAAAGGGCAGACACTGGGTTTGAGGCTGGAGAGCTGGGCAGTGGTCAGGTGTATGGTGGACTTTGTCAGCTAAAGTCGTTTGCATTTTGTGCTATGAGAGATGGGAAGTCTTTTGAAAGGTTTACAGCGGGATGCGGCCTGATCAGATTCACATGTTAAGAAGATCCTTTTGTATATGTATGTATATAATTACTTTACTTCGCTGTACACCTAGCACTGGGGCTTCCCTGGTGGCTCAGTGGTAAAGAACCTGCCTGCCAGTGCAGGAGATGTGGGTCTAATCCCTGGGTGGGGAAGAACCCCTGGAGAAGGAAATGGAAACCCTCTCTGGTATTCTTGCCTGGAAAATCCCATGGACAGAGGAGACTGAAGGGCTGCAGTCCATGGGTCTGCAAAAGAGTTGGACAGGAATTAGTGACTAAATAACATCACCACCTGAAACTAATGCAACACTGTAAACCAACTATACTCCAATAAAAAAAAAGAGTCCTAAATTTTGAAGGCGTTGCTCCACCAAATTTGGGATATATTTCTCAATTAACGATAAGTTTCTGTTGCGAAAATATTAATAATTTTTCTAATTTTGCTTCTGAAAAGATTGGTTACAAGTAATGTATTTAATTTGCAATTAGCTGTGATTTTTCAATAATTGTCATTTATATTTGTGAACATTTGTGAAGTGAGAAGAATCCAATCTTTTCAAGAATAATGACTTGTTAGTGAATACTGTTTGACAACATTAAATTTGGTAGTGATTTAAACATTGAAAAAAGGAAGGCAATCCCTTTGGGAACTATGGGAGGATATCAGAGAGAACCGAGCATAAGTGCTCAGATGAGGGTGTTGCCACAATACACATGAAAAAGGGTTGGGAGGACTTCCTTGGTGGTCGAGTGGTTAAGACTTTGCCTTCCAGCACAGAGGGTGCAAGTTCCATCCCTGGTGGAGATGGTGGAGAGGCTAAGATCCCACATGCCTTGGGGCCAAAAAACCAAAACATAAAACAGAAACAATGCTGTAACAAATTCAATAAAGAGTTTAAAAATGAACTACATCAAAAAAATCTAAAAAGGAAAAGAAAAAAAAAGAAAGACTGAGGATGGGAATGATGTGTGGAAATGGAGACTAAAGAAAACTGCAGAGAAACCCGTAGCTTTTAGTTCTGTCTGGACTTGGGATGGGCAGCATCTGCCAAAGGACACTGTGGTGCTCCTCTTAGGAATGTTGATGGAGTTAAAGGAAAGAGTGGAATTTTAGGTAGTTTAGGTATGAGGTTGAGCCTGATCCATTCTGGGCAAGGATTCCTTGAGCTGGGTTGGCAGCAATTCACTAGCAAGTCCTGTTGATAGACCAGGGAATATGAAGGACTGTCTCCTGCCCCCCAGGGGGTGGGCCAGTGCCTGGGGCTCCTTCCTGGGGATGCAGTAACCGAGGGCTTCCTGCCCTTCCCCGTTCCCAGGTCTGCGATGACGAGTGGCACCACTATGCTTTGAATCTCGAGTTCCCCACGGTCACACTCTATGCAGATGGCATCTCTTTCGACCCCGCCCTCATCCACGACAATGGTCTCATCCACCCGCCCCGAAGGGAGCCTGCGCTCATGATTGGGGCCTGCTGGGCTGGTAAGTCCCCCTGCCTCAACCCCGAGCTTCTCCATGGAGGTGCTCATGGTAGAGGTGCCCAGTGGTTGGTGGAGCAGCAAGGGCAGCTTGACCTTATGACCTCATCTCCCTGAAGTTGGGCAGGGAGGCTGGAAAAGCTCTCCACTGGAGGAAACCACCGCCCCTCTGGTCTCCTGCCTCCTGGACTGGTCATCCCCTCTGACTTGGGCATCACCAGCATCTCACTTTCTATACCTACAGCCGCTTCATACTTTGATCTGTCCCCGTCTTAATTTCACAGCCTGTTCCTCTGCTGGAGGACAGTAACCCTGCAGAGAGTCAGCAACCTATCAACTTTTAAGCTGTTTCTTTCATTTTTTCCTTCTGGGATGGCGTGTGTGTGTGTGTGTGTGTGTGTGTGTATGTTTGTGTGTGTGTGGTGTGTATGTGTAGTATGTATGTTTGTGTGTTTAGTGTGTGCGGTGTGCATGTAGTGTGTGGTGTGTCTGTATGTAGTGTGTGACATGTTTGTGTATGTTGTGTGTCTAAGTGGTGTGTATATAGTGTGTGTGTATGTGGTATGTGTGTATGTGGTGTGTTTGTGTGTGTGGTGTATGTGTACATGTGGTGTGTGTATGTATGTAATGCATATGGTTTGTGTGTATAGTGTGTGTGTGGTATGAATGTAGTGTGTGTGTGGTATGTCTGTGCGTAGTATGTGGTATGTTTGTATATGTAGTGTGTGTGTATCTTGTATGTGTGTACGTGGTGTGTTTGTGTGTGTGGTGTGCCTAAGTGGTGTGTATGTAGTGTGTGTATGTGGTATGTTTGTGTGGTGTATGTGTACATGTGGTGTGTGTATGTATGTAATGCATATGGTTTGTGTGTATAGAGTGTGTGTGGTATGAATGTAGTGTGTGTGTGTGTGGTATGTCTGTGGGTTGTATGTGGTATGTTTGTATATGTAGTGTGTGTATCTGGTATGTGTGTATGTGGTGTGTTTGTGTATGTGTGTGTGGTGTATTTGTAGATGTGGTGTATGTATGTCATGCATGTGGTTTGTATGGTGTGTGTGTGTGTGTGTGGTGTGTTTAAGTGGTGTGTATGTAGTATGTGTGTATGTGGTATGTTTGTGTGGTGTATATGTACACGTGGTGTGTGTATGTATGTAGTGCATGTGGTTTGTGTGTATAGTGTGTGTGTGGGGGAATGTAGTGTGTGTGTGGTGTGTCTGTGCATAGTATGTGGTATGTTTGTGTATGTAGTGTGTGTATCTGGTATGTGTGTATGTGGTGTGTTTGTATATGTGGTTTATGTATGTAGTGCATGTGGTTTGTATGATGTGTGTGTGTGTGGTGTGTCTAAGTGGTGTGTATGTGGTATGTGTGTATGTGGTATGTTTGTGTGGTATATGTGTACATGTGGTGTGTGTATGTATGTAGTGCATGTGGTTTGTGTGTATAGTGTGTGTGTGGTGTGAATGTAGTGTGTGTGTGGTGTGCCTGTGCATAGTATGTGGTATGTTTGTGTATGTAGTGTGTGTGTATCTGGTATGTGTGTGTGTGGTGTGTTTGTGTGTGTGTGTGGTGTATTTGTATGTGTGTAGTGCGTGTGGTTTGTATGGGGTGTGTGTGTGTGTGTGGTACCGGAGCCCTGTATTTCCTCAGCAGCATATTTGGGTTTTGTCATAACAGAGGCCTGAGATAACCTCAGACAAGACAAAGGAAGGGTTGAACTCAGTTAGAGTTTCAAGTCCTACAAGGCCGGGGGCAGCCCCAGGAAGACCTCCCCAGCCGCTCTGTCAGTCTGGCCCCGCATCCCTGAGCTCACTGGCACTCTTTCTCCCCCAGAGGAGAAGAATAAAGAGAAGGACAAGGGAGGCGACAACAGTACGGACGCCACAGCAGGTACTTACATGTGGGGCCTGGAGGCCGGAGAGCTCGCATCTCAGCCTGGCGCGCTGGGCTCCGCATCCGCGCGGTCCTACCCGGCCTCGCGCTTCACCGCCTCGCGCCCCACCGGGGTCAAAGCCTCCGAGTGGCGCGGCCAGGCGGGGAGAGGGCAGCCAGATGGAGCCGGCTGGGAGCCGGTGTCCTCTTCTGTCCACAGAGTGACATCCAGGGTTTCCGCGTGGCAGAGCGCAGGGGGCAGGAGGTGGCCACGCGGCCGGGAGAGCTGGGCATCCCTGAAGCTCCCACGCATCCCTGCCGGCGCCCCCCGCATGCACCGCGGAGACCCCCTCGCGCACTCTCCTCTTCCTCCTTGGGTCTCTTTCCTCCCTTTGGTCCTGCTTTCCTTCTTCTCTTTATCCTGGAAGCCGTTCTGCTCCTGTGGCTTCTATTTTTCGCCTTCCTTCCCCCTCTGCTCCGGTTTTTATTCTGCCTTCTCCCTCTCCCTTCTCCCCTTAGCCTCACTTGCCTCTCAGCCATCCTTCTTTTAGCCCTCCCTGGCTCCTTTCCGTCTTCTTTCTCCAGCCTGCTGCTCTTTCTCTGTCTTGTTCTCAGCCTCCTCTACCTGGGGCCTCCTCCGCCCTCCCCTCTGACCTCTCACCTCCCGTCCGCCCCTGTGTTCCTGCCCTAGGAGACCCCTTGCCGATCCACCACTACTTCCACGGCTACCTGGCTGGTTTCAGCGTGCGCTCAGGCCGCCTGGAGAGCCGTGAGGTCATCGAGTGCCTCTATGCATGTCGGGAGGGGCTGGACTATAGGGATTTCGAGAGCCTAGGCAAAGGCATGAAGGTATCGCCCCTTCCTCTGGCCCCCTCCCTCCGGGCATGCCCCCTGCCCCGTGCCCCCGCCCCGCCCCACCCCCTTGGCTCCCTTCCTCCCCCTCCCCAGTCCTGCTCTCAGCCCTGTCTGTGTCTGGGGCCCAGGTCCACGTGAACCCCTCGCAGTCCCTGCTCACCCTGGAGGGGGATGATGTGGAGACCTTCAACCATGCCCTGCAGCATGTGGCTTACATGAACACTCTGCGCTTTGCCACACCTGGCGTCAGGCCCCTGCGCCTCACCACTGCCGTCAAGTGAGTGTCCGGTGGGTGGGCAAGTCACAGAACAGAGCCAGACAGTGTCAGAACTCCTTGCCCTTAGATGCCACTGACGGCTAGACACATAATGCATCCCTCCCCTCTGGTTTTAGGGATGGAAAACTGACCTGCCCAGCTGACACAGCAATGCTGCAAGAAGAGTTTGGACTAGACTCAGATTTTTCAACAATGAGTTCATTACTCTTCCCACTTGTTAGCTCAGATGGTGAAGAATCCGCCTGCAATGCAGGAGACCTGGGTTCGACCCCTGGGTCGGGAAAATCACCTGGAGTAGGAAATGGCAACTCACTCCAGTATTCTTGCCTGGAAAATCCTATGGACAGAGGAGCCTGGCGGGCTACAGTCCATGGGGTCACAAAGAAGAGTCATACATGACTGAGCAGCTAACACATACTCTTCCCACCAAAGCACACTTCCAGCATTTAGGAGTTTTAATCTCTGTACCTCTGGGGTTGATATGTGAAAGGGGACAGAGGAGGGTCCTGGATTGGGCGCCAGGAGTGGTGGTTTGATCTCTCAGTTGTGTCCGACTCCTTTGCAACCCATGGACTCAACCCCCATGCTCCTCTGTCCATGGGATTTTCCAGGCATGAATACTGGAATGGGTTGCCATTTCCTTCTCCAAGGGATCTTCCTGACCCAGGGATTGAACCCATGTCTCCTGCATTGGCAGGCGATTCTTCACTGCTGACCCACCAGGGGAGCCCTTAAGTATATTAGTTATTTAAGAATACAGATTAATTAAGGGGTCATGAAAACACAAGAGTTATAGATACAGAGTTTTTACTTACTAGCTTTTTAGTACTGAGAAAGTGCCATCAAGCAGAGATAACAATAGAATCTAACTTATGGAACTGTTGTGAGAGCAAATGATAGAGTCCAGATCAAATGCCAGCAGAGTGCCTGTTTTGCACACTTATTGAAAGTGAAAGTGAAGTTGCTCAGTCATGTCCGACTTTGCAACCCTATGGACTGTAGCCAACCAGGCTCCTCCGTCCATGGGATTTTCCAGGCGAGAATACTGGAGTGGGTTGCCATTTCCTTCTTCAGGAGATCTTCCCGACTCTGGGATTGAACCCTGGTCTCCGGCATGGTAGGCAGACACTGTACCATCTGAGCTACCAGGGAAGTCTGTACACTTATTACCTGAAGGCATTTTCACCCTTTATGTTTGTGGGGCAGTTTTAAGAGCTACTGCCCTCTAGTGGGTGCATCATACATTGCAGGGGTCAGGATTTCTGTGTTCCCTTCTCCCCTGCTCTGCCTCAGTTTATCCAAAAGCTGTCTGAAGAGAAGCATCTCTTAATTGCCCCTATCCTGGCAGGAACGGGTTTGGAGAAGAAGCTTTGAGCCCCGGAGAGTGATGGGCATGGTTGTCAAGCCTCTCAGTTGAAGCTGTGGAATATGGGGCTAGGTTTGGGGAATTGGGCTGCTGGTCCATGGTGCAGTCCTGATGTGGAGCTGAAGGCTATGGGCAGATGAGTTCTCATGGACACAGATCAGCGCTCAGGATGGGCCCCACCAGCTTCCAGTGAGAACTCTAGCTGTTAAAGGGCTCTCATCCAGCTCTGGAGGTGCCAAGGGCTTCATCCCTCAGGGACCAAGAATTGATCTCGTCTCTTTCATAGGCTTAGGATGGAGCTTTGCAAGGGGCAGCCCCACAAGGTGGGAGTTGGCTCATCTGGATTTCTCTGACCTTCCCAGGGAAGAGGCTTATCTGAGGGGTGGGAACCTGAGCTCCTCCTTTAGTAGAGGGGAGGGGCCTTCTTTCTTTGTGAGGTTAAGAGGAAGGGAGGTCTCATTTCTCTTTTCAGGGTTTCCATGTGGTTAGTGCAACACTAAAACTTCATTGAGGGGATTCCCTGGTTGCTCAGCTGGTAAAGAATCCTCTTGCAATGCAAGAGACCGTGACTCGATCCTGGGTGGGGAAGATCCCCTGGAGAAGGGATAGGCTACCCACTCCAGTATTCTTGGGCTTCCCTAGTGGCTCAGATGGGAAAGAATCTGCCTGCAATGTGGGAGACCTGGGTTCGATCCCTGTGTCGGGAAGATTCCCTGGAAGAGGACATGGCAACCCACTCCAGTACTCTTGCCTGGAGGATCCTGTGGACAGAGGAGCCTGGTGGGCTTCAGTCCGTGGGTCCACAGAGTCAGACATGACTGAGCACTTTCACATGCAACTGTTCAGTCAATGCAGGTTTTCCCTAAGTTTTTTTTTTTTTTTTTTAAATCTTTCTGGAATTCTTGGAAAGCCCATCTCCTCATGGCATTGACCACTGAACAGATGGCCACCACATCTTTTGCTCTAGCTCTGTTTTCTCTCCCTAGCTTTTGAATTTCTACATGCTTGCTGTAATCTCTGTCTGGGAAGTTCTGCCCCCACCTCAAACAAACGAGCTAAAGCTTAATAATGAACTTCAGTGCCTGAGCCAGCCCTGCCCCCGAATTCTCTGCCTTTGTGATGGTGTCTCTGTCCTTGTAGTCACCCTGGCTTGCAGTCCCTGAATTGTCTTGGAGCCCTCCCTGTGTTTACAACCATGCCCCATCAGTCATCTGGTCACCTAGATCCCTCTGCACCCGTGTTTGGTGTCTGCTTCCTCTTTCCCCATATCTGTGTTATGGTTCCAGCAGGCTCTCATGCCCACTCCTCTGGCCTCTTGCGATATCCTCCTGACTAGTGGACTGTCTTTAGTATTCTAACTTCAGTTTCGCCCCCACCCAACGGCTAGGTTAGTGAATGTCCATCCTCACACTTCCTTGCTGAAGAATACATCTGTGGGTCCCTCCTGCCACCCACAAAATTTGCACTCGGAGCCCTGAACCATCTGTCCCAGCCTTTCCTGCGTCGTGTTCCTCTACTCCCCTTCGTGTGCTCCTCACCATCCACTCTAAGGTCAACTTTCTACCTCCTTCAAAGGCTGGGTTGCTTGCTACTTTTTTTGATTATTCCTACTGTCCCTGGCCAAATAGCCCATTCCCATCCTAGCCAGAAATAGCTTCTCCCACCTTGAACACTCTTGGTTTTGTGTGTGCTCCATTCGTGTGATGGTGACCACGTTGGCTCTTGTTTGTAGGTTTGTGTAGAAATTCTAATTTCTTGACCACATCATCAGTGCCAGGGCCAGCCCCCTGCTCCCCTTTGGGTCTCCATTGGATCATGCATCCCAGTGGGAAGGTCTGCTGGAGGCCAGCCCCCTGGTCCCCTTTGGGCACCTTTTGGATCACCCATCACAGTGAGAATATCTGCTGGAGGCTGTGCTTCCGGAGTCAGCTGGACTTCTTTGCCAGGAGGCTTTGATTGAGGTCTCTCTGAGACCTTGCGGACTGTCTCAGGCCCTGCTCCTTAGGGCACAGGAACTCAGCAGGTTGTGGGTTTGGTCCCTTCAGGGGCTATGCATTCATGGTACCTGCTGAGGTTACGCCTCCTCCCTTTTGGCTCCAGTAGTCAAGCTGGACTCATTCAGTAACACAAATGACAATCCTTTTCGAAAAATCATTTCCCTTAGCTCAGGCAGGTGGACCATAAGACATGCTCTGGAATTACCACCTCCCCTGTGAAAACTGCATGTTCAAAGGGGCAGTTTCTTTCTTTTTTTCTTTTTTTTTTGCTGCACCATGCAGCTTGTGGGATCTTAGTTCCTTAACCAGGGATTGAACCCAGGTCCACGGCAGTGAAAGTGCCAAGTCCTAACCACTGGATCACCTGGGAATTCCAAGGAGACACTTCTTTATAAATAAATTTGATTTGTGCAAACCCAGGTTCCACATGGTGGCTGTGGGTTAGTGGGAAAGTGTGGACTTGGAATGAGAAGAATGGGTTCAAGCCTGGACTGGGATGCATATTTCTTATGTGGCCAAGATGCTTGACCCAGGAGCTTTGGCTTCTGCTCCTTCTTCCAACAGTAGTGAAAGAAGGTTAAGTGAAAGCATGTGGGCAAAATGCTTCACAAAGCAGCAAGTGCTCTGGGAATAACCCTCAGATTGGCTGGAGGAGATTCTGGGAGTGTGTTCTAGAGTGGCTGTGATGTTGGTTGGTCAGGACTTAGTCCTCTTGGGAGGGTTTGTGTGGCACCAAGTTCAGAGAGGCTTCATGGGACGGTGGATGCAGTCTGAGATGGTCAGATTAGCTTGCCTACTGAAGAGTGTTTATCTGGTACTGGACGAAATGAGTGGAAGATACACCTGGGAGGAGGATGTCCTTTTTTAAAAAATTTTATTGTAGTTGATTTACAGTGTTGTGTTAGTGTTTGCTTTACAGCAACGTAGTTCAGTTATATGTATATAGACATACATTTTTAATGTTCCTTCCCATTATGCTTTATCATAGGATATTGAATCTAGTTCTCTGTGCTATACAGTAGGCCCTTGTTGTTTATCCATTGTATATATAAAGGCTTACATCTGCTAATCCCAGCCTCCCCCTCCATCCTTGCCTCAACCCCCTCTCTCTTGGCAATCATCAGTCTGTTCTCTGTGTCCGGGATTCTGCTTCTGTTTGATAGATAGGTTCATTTGTGTCATATTTTAGATTCCACATATAAGTGATGTGCGTGCATACACTCTAAGTCGCTTCAGTCGTGTCCAACTCTGTGCGACCCTATGGACTGTAGCCCTCCAGGCTCCTCTGTCCATGGGATTCTCCAGGCAAAAATACTGGAGTGGGTTCCCATTCCCTTCTCCAGGGGATCTTCCCGACCCAGGAATCAAACCCAGGTCTCATACATCTCCTGCATAGGCAGGCAGGTTCTTTACCACTAGTGCCACCTGGAAAGCCCATACATACGTGATATCATATGGTATTTGTCTTTCTCTTTCTGACTTACTTCACTTAGTATGATAATCTCTAGTTGAATCTGTGTTTCTGCAAATGGCATTGTTTTTTGATGACTGAGTACTATTCCATTGTATATATGTACCACGTCTAATTTATGCATTCATCTGTCAGTGAACATTTAGATTGTTTCCACATCTTGGCTATTGTGAATAGTGCTGTTATGAACACGGGGTGTATGTATCTTTTGAATTATGGTTTTGTGGACATCCTTTGACACACTTCCCACTCCCACCCTACCCCACCTTTGTTGTTGAATATTTTTTGACACATATCTACCAGTCCAGTAGTTAAGACTCCGAGCTTCCACTGCAGGGGTCATGGATATTGAGGAACCAGGATCCCTGCATGACTTGGTGTGGCCAAAAATATAAAAAAGAAGGTGATAGATTCCCCATATAAGTGATATATATGGTATTTGTCTTTATCTTATTTAGTTCACTTAGCATTAACACCTTCAAGGTCCTTCCACATCATTACAAAAGGCAGAATGTATAGTATTCCATTGTATATACGTCACATCTTGATCCATTCATCTGTGGACGGACACTCTGGTGGTCCCTGTGTCTTGGCGACTGTGAATAATGCTGTGGTGAACATGAGGCTGGAGCTAGTGCTTTGAGATAGTGATTTCATCTTTAGATGTATACCCATATATACCCATACTCGTTTTCTTTAGATATATAACCAACTCTTTGTGACCCCATGGACTATACAGTCCATGGAATTCTCCAGGTCAGAATACTGGAGTGGGTAGCCTTTCTCTTCTCCAGGGGATCTTTCCAACCTAGGAATCAAACTGGGGTCTCTTGCATTGTGGGACAATTCTTTACCAACTGAGCCTTCCCCAGGAAGGGAATTGCACTGAATATGTGCTCAGTCACTCTGTCATGTCCAACTCTTTGCAACCCCATGGTCTGTAGCCCACCAAGCTCCTCTGTCCATGGGACTTTCCAGGCAAGACTACTGGAGTGGGTTGCCATTTCCTTCTCCATGAGATAGTGATTTCATTTTCTTTAGATATGTACCCAGGAAAGGAATTGTACTGAATATACTTTTAAAAAATCAAACAAACAAAAAAACCTCTTAGATGTGTATGTATTTACATTTCTTTAAGTTCAGTTTGTAAAATACTTTTCCATGGTCTTGGGATCGGGCATTGGTGATGTCATAGGTCAGGGTTGCCTGACCTTTTGCCCCTGCCCCTTCTCTGCAGTGGCTTCCTCCCGGGAAAGGGCATCTCCCCCTCCAGCTTTGCTGTGTGTGTGTGTGGGTGGTCTGCAGAGACACTGTCCCCTTTTCCTCCCCTCTTACTCCCTGACATGGGGTGCTCTCTGCAGAGGTGGGGGTCCAGAGTGGTAGCCAGACTACAGATTATCAGGGAGCGGGTGCTGGGCTCACAACTGTCTCCCTCCCCTCTCCTGATGCAGGTGCTTCAGTGAAGAGTCCTGTGTCTCCATCCCTGAAGTGGAGGGCTATGTGGTGGTGCTACAGCCGGATGCCCCCCAGATCCTGCTGAGCGGCACTGCTCACTTTGCCCGCCCAGCTGTGGACTTCGAAGGACCCGAGGGGGTTCCTTTGTTCCCTGATCTCCAGATAACTTGCTCCATTTCGCACCAGGTGGAGGCCAAAAAGGACGAGAGTTGGCAAGGCACAGGTAAGCATGCCTCCCAGGGAGGGGTCAGTGTCTGGAGCCAACCTGAAGGAGAAAATCTGGAGCTGGACATGACAGCAATGTCACCCCACATTTGCTTTTCGAGAATCACTGGCTATTGGGAAGGAGGGCCAGTGGGAGGCCCCCAGGTATAAGGACATTGTCGGGTAGTGACCTTCTTGACAGCGATGCTGGCAGCTCTCAGGGGATGACCCAGGATGGGGAGGAGGAGCGGCCAGGAGGTGGGCCCTTCAGCTCTGACCCAGAGCCCGACTCCCTCCCATCCAGTGACAGACACTCGCATGTCAGACGAGATCGTGCACAACCTGGATGGCTGTGAGATCTCCCTGGTGGGGGATGACCTGGATCCCGAGCGAGAAAGTCTGCTCCTGGACATGGCATCCTTGCAGCAGCGAGGCCTGGAGCTCACCAACACATCCGCCTACCTCACCATTGCCGGTCAGTGGGGCCTGAGAGCTGGTCCTCTTTTCTTGGGATGCCTCTGTCCATCTCTGGGGGACGCAGAGGATCCTCCTTCCAGGCCCAGAAATGTGACCAAGTGTCCCCTTTCACCTTCTCCATCTGGAGGTCCTCTGCCTTCCAGATTGTCCATAGAGGTGGGCGCCGGGGTTTAGAATTCTGATGGTTCTTTCCCAGCGTCTCTGTCCAGCCCGGCTTACCTCTGTTCTGGGCTCCACTCTTCTCTGGCTCAGTCTCTGACTAGCTTTCTTATTCTCTGGCCATTTGCTACTCACCATCTTCTCTGTCTTCCATCTCACTGATCTCTTGGATTCAGCATAGCTTTTCTTTTCTTCTAATATTTATTTATGTGGCTGTGCTGGGTCTTAGTTGGCAGCACGCGGGATCTTTTTTAGTTGCGGCACGTGGGGTCTTTAGCTGTGGCATGCAGACTGTTTAGTTGCAGCATACGAACTCTTAGTTGAGGCATGTGGGACCTAGTTCCCTGACCAGGCATGGAACCTGGTCCCCTTCATTGGGAGCATGGAGCCTTAGCCACTAGACTCCCAGGGAAGTTCCTAAGTGCTCATCTCTTAATGTTTGGTGGTAATGACTTGGCAGCTTTCCAGGGAAGCCTGCTCCTCTCCAAAGGACTCTCTGTTGGGAAGAATAGAAGACGGGGTGGCCAGTCCCCTCGTTTTCATTCCCTTCCAGAGCCTCATGGAGGGCTTCTGCCTTTGCCCCTCACCATCTCCCCACTGCTGCCTCCTCCCTCTGTCCTTCATGCGTCCCTGTTTTCCTTCTCTCCATCCCTCTTCCCAGCTCGCAGAGGAGAGCAAATGGAGCCTTGGTTCCTCTGTCCCAGTCAGGCAGAGCTGGCGGGGTGCAGGGGAGCCTCTCTCCCTCTAAGGAATCGGGTCACGCTCCTGTTGAGTTGAGGGGTGTCAACAGGTGGGAGTCTGGGAGAGAGACCCCGGGCCTCCTCGCTGGCTCCTGCTCTGAGCCGCCTCCCGGGTTCCCAGGGGTGGAGAGCATCACCGTGTATGAAGAGATTCTGAGGCAGGCGCGTTATCGCCTGCGACACGGAGCAGCCCTCTACGCCAGGAAGTTCCGGCTCTCCTGCTCAGAAATGAATGGGCGTTACTCCAGCAATGAATTCATCGTGGAGGTAACCCAAGCCCCCTCCCTCCCACAGCCGCCCCCGTTGGTGAGGAGTCGGGATGGGGGGTGGCGGGGCGGGGGGGGGCGGGTACTGAGTTCCCTGGTGGTTGGGGGTGGAAACTGCAGCCCGGGCAGGGGAATCCTGGACCCGGGTTGTGGGTGGAGAAGGAGGGGAAGCTGGGGCGGCGGGGAGCGGGTGGGGGCGTGGGGCGTGGGCAGGGGTGAAGAGATGGGCCTCCGAGGGCTGGAGGAGGACTGGGGAGAAGCGAGCGTATCCACTGAGCCCGCCCTCGCCCCAGGTCAGCGTCCTGCATAGCGTGAACCGGGTGGCTCACCCCAGCCACATGCTCAGCTCCCAGCAGTTCCTGCACCGCGGGCACCAGCCACCGCCTGAGATGGCTGGACACAGCCTGGCCAGCTCCCACCGCAACTCCAGTACGTAAGGCTGGGTGGGGCCAGCAGGCCTGTGGGCACAAGCATCCTCCCTCCACCTCTGGGGGTGGTGGGTGAGGAGGAAGGGGTGGAGCCATGGATTCTGTCGAACCTGGCTTGGTTGACGGTTCCGATCCAATCCCTTCACCCCTGGCTCATTCACTTTCCCTAGTGGACAGTTCGAGCCTTGGGTCATCACAGGGTCACTCATATCCGGGCTGATGGTCAGTGCGGGTTTAGCCTTTGTTGTTGCTGCTGCTGGCAATATGAAGTCAGCCGCGGACCTCGGGATCCTCAGTAGTGAAGCTATCACGTATTAAGCACCTACTGTATACTAATGCTGTCGACAATACCGTTAAGAATACAAACAATTATAAGGTAGATACAGTTTCTATTCTAAAGAAGGTTGGTGCTATTGCCTGTCAAATTATGTGCTATCTAAGATTGAGGGCAGGAGGAGAAGGGGACGACAGAGGATGAGATGGTTGGATGGTATCACTGACTCGATGGGCATGGGTTTGGGTGGACTCCGGGAGTTGGTGATGGACAGGGAGGCCTGGCGTAGTGCAGTTCATGGGGTCACAAAGAGTTGGACACGACTGAGAGACTGAACTGAACTGATAAAGTCATAAGGCTATTTCTGAAACAAAATATGCAAACATGTGAAGTGCTACATCCAGATGGACAGATGCCCTTCAGAGCCATCTTGTTCCCTGGCCAGGGTTGCTTACTAGTGATGCAATTTTTAATTCATAATTTGAGTTGCTTAATTATAGAAAAATTAGAAACTCTTAAGTGTAAATAAGAAAAGTCATCCATAATTCCACCACAGTTGACCCATTGTTAGTAGGGTCACAGCCCAGTTTTTGCCTATGTGGCTGTTTTCTTTTTTTCTTTTAACAAACATGAGATCAAACTATTTTGTAACCTAATATTTACACCTAATATTATAAATTGAGTCTTCTTCACATTGTTAAAAATTGCAATGATTCTGATGTTGCTGGAAATGATTTTTGGAATCCCTTTTTTACAATTGTTTTCAAAGTCAATTCATGAGATGCATTTATTTTTGTTACTTTCAGGACATAACTTGCTTTTGGCCTAGTTCAATATTACCCAACATCAGCATCCACTTTTGTCAGAGTTGGCTCTGGATAGCATTTTACGTTTGTACATGTAAAACCCACTCTGGAAAGGCAGAGATGGGTCACTTATTAGAAAAAGTCAGGGACTTCCCTGACAGTCAAGTGGTTAAGACTTTGTGCTTCCACTGCAAGGGGCATAGGTTCGATTCCTGGTCGGAGAACTAAGATCCCACATACCACATGGCATAGCCAAAAAAAAAAGAGATTAAAAAAAAGTCAAAACTTGTGTTGCAGGCTCTGAAGGCAATTCCCTAAGGCATTTCAAACACGCTTTCTTGGGGCAAGGTCATGGTCACTTACTGAGAACTACCCTTAAAGGACAGCTCTCTTGTCAACCATGTAATCATTAACAGTAGTGAGCACTTTGGTGTGCCAGGCACTCTGCCTGTGAATTTTACACCTATTAACCCAGTGAGTCATTAAAGACAACAGCTGAAATAGGCACTAGAATGATCCCCTCTAAAGGTAAGGAAACAGAGACCCAGAGAGGTTAAGTACCTTATCCAAGATCACATAGCAAAAATATGGTGGAGCCAGGATTCGAATTCAGCCAGCAGAATTCCAGAACCCGTATTCTAGCACCCTTCATATCCTCTCCATGTTAGATGCTTTACAAATAGTCTCATCACGTTACAGTTGCACCTAATTTGGCGGAGCCCTTGAGGGCTTTCCAGGATGTCTCTGACTGAGACTGGCTCCTGGGTACCCCTCAGAATTCAGTCAGGTTTCCTTTCCTTGGGCAGCGGCCCCCACTGCACTGTCTCTTGTGTTTGCCTTTCCCTGGGACTGGCTCCCCTCATCCTTGCTCTCCCTGAAAACAACTGCAGACACCTTTTAAGTGTTTTCCTGTGATTCCTACAGCAAAGCAGATGGAAGTAGGGGTGAGGAGGGACTGTAAAGCATAAGGAAGTTGCAAGGTTCTAGGAAGCTTCACATTATCTTTAGAGACATGTGAGTGAACTTGACCTGTTTTTGTTAAATAGACTTTTGGGGCCATGACTCCCTAGGTCTTCTTCCAGTTCTTTCCTTGGCAATCATTCCACTCAGCCTTGCTGGGGTTGGATACTGGCTCTACCACTCAGATTAGGCTCAAAGTGGGTCCTGGTTGGCATTGCTGTTAGGCTTGGTAAGACCTTCTTCCTTGTTTTCTCCGCTTGCTCTGAGATTTGAATTGAGAGCGGCAGCCTGCTTTTCCTTTCCCCTGATTTTGGCCTGAGTAGGGTACAGAGTTCATAGTTTACCTGAGGGCCTTGGTGATTGATATCTCCTGAACTTATCAGGGGACCCATTTTGTCAGACCCATTCCATGTACCTTTCCTGACTCTTCAAAGTGTTCCCTTTCTCTCCCTTCCCTCCCAGTCCCAAGAGTGGAGTTACAGAACTGTGGTTAAGCAATATCAAATTACTCTGACCATGCAAAAGAGGAAGAGATAGAATTCTCTCCAATGGGATGGGGGGTTCATTTCTCTGAAGTGCCTAAGTGCACCAGGAAAGAGCTCAGTGTGAACTGGCACAGTCAGCTAAGGAAGGCCTGTGCTGGCACATTCAGACCTTGACCTTGAACCTGGAGGGTAGAAGGGAATCTGGATGGACACGAGAGAGAACAAGAGTGTTAGAACTGGGGGTGGGTGGGTGGCTCGGGGGGTTGTGTTTGGAGAGAACAAGGCTGCCTGAGAAGGGTAAGATGAGTGTTGAAGACAAGATTTATCCAGTCCTGCCAAATTTTGATGCACATCAGAATCACCTGGGAGCAGTAAAAACCCTTAGTGCCTCGGCCATACCCCATGTCAATTCAGTCAGAAGGTCTGGGGTGGGGAGCCAGGCTTCAGTGCGTTTTTAAAGATCCTCAGGTGATTCCACTGTGCAGTCAAGTTAGGAATTATTTCCTTGCTTTGTTACCTACAAGTATCTGAGACTTCGTGGAGAGACCCACAGTGCAGTAGGATGAGAATAGAAAATCAAGTTGGACGTGAGGCAGAAAGGACGACGATGGAAGATGAAGACAGGGAATAAGTCAGTTCATAAAACACATGCTGTGAGATACTGCAGTTGCTTGAGTGGCCAGAATTTGGACCTGAGCTTCCTTGGAGCTGAAACAGGAGGAAAACTGAGCAGTTAGGAAAGTCACGTGATGGGACCCACCAGTGCTTCCGGTTGGAGGTTTCTCCCCAGCCTCTTCAAAAAGGGGGCTCCACGCAGGGTTGTGGACAGGGCATCCATGGTGCCTTACACTCACATGAAGCCAGGAGTTTCACATAGGCTACTGGCTAGAACTCAAACACTCCTTCCTGTTGGGGAGGTCGCTCGAGGCGAGAGTCAACTACTTGAAGCTAACTCAGTAAGAAAGGCTGATGATGTTTCCTAAACTCTTGGTTGCTGTCTGTAGCTAACTTAAAAATCCTCCCGTCTCCCCGGCCTCCTGGCTCAGTTTAAACTAATTAACTGTGCTTGTTTGCCCGCACGTGCAGTGTCTGCGCTTTGTCTTTCCTGTGGTCATTTCTGATTGCTGGCAGTCAGCTTGTCACTTCCTTCACCAGGCCAGGGGCTTGCAGGGACAAATGCATTTGATTAAGGCACAGAGCAAAAGCTCTGGCTCGTCGTCATTGTGGCTGTGGCGCCAGTTCACCTGCTGTGGCCTCCACCCTGAGGAGGGGTTTCTACTTCTACAGCCTGGGCTCGGCTACGGGGGCATTCTGCTGGTGGGGGTCACTGTTCTGGGATCCTGCCCCACTGACCTGGAGATGCGGGAGGGGCTTTTTCCTGCAGAGGAGCCGACAGGCCAGCTCGGCCTCCCCGCTCCTCCTCCTCCATCCCCAGGCAGTTAAGAAACACTCATCCAGCCAGGCCCATCTCTCCCCAGAGCCGGCGCCCAGGGAATGCGCCTGCCTTGCTCAATAGAGTCAGTTGTCATTGGCCCCAAATGGGCTATGGGTCGGGTCAGACTGGGGACCGACTTGGCAGAGCACCATCAGGGCGGCCTCGGTGAGGGGTGAGGCCAGTGCGGCTGCTCCCACACCTGCTTGTGTTTCCACACCTGGCTGGCTCTGGAGCATGTGGCAGCGTGTGCGTGCACTGTCTGCTGGAGGACAGGTGTGCACCAGGGTGTACCCCATGCTCTGTGCTTCCCTGCATTCTGCTCCGTCTCTGGCTATGTGAGTCTTGGAGGCTGTGGGTAAATTCGTGTGTGTGCGTGTGTGTGTGAGTGAGACGCATATACTAACAGCCCCTCAGCAACGGGACTGCCCAGGGTGTGGGTCCCACACAGCGAGGCGCTGTGCCTCCGTGGCCGGCAGGAGTGGGCACCCATGAGGGGTGTAGTCACCCAGCTGCCCGTGAGGGCACTGAGCCTGGGGGCGCGCCTGTGGGGTCTCTACCTCCACCTGCTGTCCGTGGGGCTGTGGGCGCCTCTGTTTTGCCTCCTCCTGCTTCTCCGCGTGTTGTCCGTGTGTGCACAGGAGGTGGGCAAGGCTGTGCTTACGGCTGCTGCCTCCGTGGCAGTCTGGGTCCAGGTCTGTGGCGGGTACCTTGTCCTGCACGGGCTCGCCTGGACTGCCCAGCTGGTGGGGAGCTGGGTGGCGCTGCACGTGTGGCTCTGCTGTGCCTTGCTGGAGACCCTCGGGCACATCCTTTCCATCCTGCCGTGTGAGCAGGCCGTCGGGTGGCTGGTGCGGGCAGGTGTGCTGGCCGGCAGAGGCCTGGCGTGGGTGCGGGGCGTGGCGACCCTGGTCCAGGTGTGCGCCCACACGCTCTTCCTGGGCGTGTACCTGTGCCTGCACGTGTGCTTTGCCGCCATCAGCTCCAAGGTCCAAGTGAGGGTGCATGCCCCGCTCTGGGTCTCGCTGCCCTTTAGGGTCCACATCCCCCTGAACCTGGGCTTCAGAGTGAGGCTGCAGGCCCAGAGGCACGGCGAGGCCGAGGGGACGGGGGGTGCATCCCAAGGGGAGCAGAGCCCCCCGGTGTCCCTTGAGCCCACAAGGAGACGGGAGGCGTCACAGAGCAGGGGCGAGCTCTGTCCAGGTGGGTACTTGAAGGGGCTGCTTTCTACCTCTTGGTCCTGTCCCCAGCCTCAGGTGCCAGGCCACACCTGGAGCCCACTTCTCCTCTTCAAACAAAGGAGAACATTCTCTACTCTTGCATCATCAAGCCCGTGTGGCCACCTCTCTCCTTTCCCCTCTGGGCTCCCGGGACCTCCTTCCTGGACTGCATGGTCCCCAGGGAAGGCACAGGCAGAGGACCTGGGCAGGGTCCAGGCCTTGCCCTCTGTCTGCCGAGCACAGAACTGCTCAGGGCAATGTTGGCTTGGGGGCCCTTCTCCTCCCCCTGCCCTTCCTCCTTTGCAGTCCTCCTCCCTCCCTCAGGCTCTCAGTTCCTCCAGTTGCCCCCTGCCCTCCCCATCTCTGTCCTTACCTGGGTGAAAGTGAAAAAGAGAAAGCGATAGTCGCTTAGTCAAGTCGGACTCTTTGCAACCCCTTGGGGGTAGCCCGCCAGGCTCCTCTGTCCATGAGATTTCCCAGGCAAGAATACTGGAGTGGGTTGCCAGTTCTTCCTCCAGGGGATCTTTCCGAGCCAGGGACTGAACCCAGGTCTCCTGCATTGAGGGCAGATTCTGTACCTGTGGGACTCTGCTTCTCTTCCAGCTTCTACAGTGGAGACCCCTCTTCTGGGCCATCATGGACCCTCTCTTTTGCTCAGGGATGCCCTCTTCCCAGACCCCTGACCCCCTTCTGCCATCCCCCTGCCCCCTCCCCCGCCAGCCGAGTTGGCTCAGGTGTGCCTGGCTCTCTCTGCAGTGGTCCCCAGTGCGGCCACCCTCATCATCGTGGTGTGCGTGGGCTTCCTGGTGCTCATGGTTGTCCTGGGTCTCGTGCGCATCCACTCACTGCACCGCCGCGTCTCGGGGGCCAGCGGGCCTCCCGGGGCCTCCAGCGATCCCAAGGACCCCGACCTCTTCTGGGATGACTCAGCTCTCACCATTATCGTGAACCCCATGGAGGTGAGTGGGGGGCCTGGCAGAGTCAGGGTGCAGCTGGAGCACACTCCCAGCAGGGAGACTCCCAATGAGCACCCTCCCCCCCAACCTTCCCCAGTCCTACCAGAGCCGGCAGGTCTGCGTGGCGGGCACTGCGGGTGGCCAGCAGGACGATGAGGACAGTAGCGACTCGGAGGCCGCTGACTCGCCCAGCAGTGACGAGAGACGCATCATCGAGACCCCCCCTCACCGCTACTGAGGCCTCTGCCCCTCCCCAGACAGAGAATTCCGTCCCGGAGAGTCAGACACACCGAAGAGACAGAAGGACCTTCTTAGAGGAGAGAGACCCGGTGGGGTGGAGAAGAGAGCTCTTAGAAGAGTCCTCTCCTAATCTCAGAATCTGGGGGCCCACCGGAGCCCGCCCCCTCCCCCTCAGCCCCCAGCCCACCCCGGCTCCATGCCTCTGGGCTCCTACTCCTGGGTTGGGGAGATTCTGGCTGCCTTGTCTGTCCCCAGGCAGCCACCCCCTTTGCTGACTCACGTCTGTCTCTTCCCCCACCAGCCATGTGCTGTATGGGAGTGGGCGGGGGGGGGCGGCGCTGAAGGAAACTTTGTCTCCTGCCCTTACCTTCTCTCCTGTCCACGGGGCCCCCTGGCCGGGCATTCTCTGCTTCTCTTAACGAGCCCCCCTCTTTCCATTTCACTCTGGGGATCCCCTCTTCTCCTGGCCCCCTTCCCTCCTCTTTCCTCTCCTTGCCTGAGGTCTTGCAGCCCCTGCCCCTTTCTCCGAGACCTGGCTGTGGCTGGGTTGTAGGGGTGGGAGTGGGGTGGGGGCCCGGGTGGATTATATATAATGTATATTTTTTCATGTCATCGTGAGCGCAGCCCCTGTGTTCCGTGTGCAGCTCACAACCTTGTGTGCGTGTGGCATCGTCACGTCCTGGGGTGGGAGTGGGGGTCGGGGGGTGGGTGTGTGAGGGAGGGGACACACCCTAGGGTTTTCAAATAAAACAACTGGAAAAAATCCTGGTGAGCTGCCTCTGGCCTGCTTGATCCCTGGTGGGTGCTCTGTGGGTGGCCGCTGCGGTCTCTGACCCCTTCGGTCTCTGAGCTGAAGTGAGGGGCAGGGCTGGTTGTCTGGGTGCTGCTGCCAGGATCAGATGGCTCCCACTGCACCCTGGGAAAAGTGCAGACAATTGGGGGAATGCTGCATATGCCAGGGTTTTGTGGAAGACATTGTTATCACCCCCATCTCTTGGAATTTTTCACCTGGGGTTCCTGTGTGCCCAGCCCCGGGGCAGTCGAGGGGGAGAGGGCAGGCACCCCTGCTATTTGTTTTTTAAAAAGGGGTTTCCCTTTTAAAAATTAATTAATTGATGAATTATTGGCCATACCTTGTGGCATGTGGGCCCTTAGTTCCCCCACCACCTGTAGGTGGCGGCTCCACTAGGGCGTCCTGCACTTCAGAGGCAACCTTGGCCCGGATTCTACTCTGTCCGTTTTGCCTTTCTCCCAGTTACCTGAGCCAGAGACCTGGGAGTGGGTTGGGCCTTCTCCCTCTCCCTTAACCTCATGTCCACATGGTGACTAAACCCTCTCATTTTTACTTTTTACCCCTTAAAATCTCTCAAATGTCTTTTTCTCCCCGGCACCCCATTGCTGGTGCTGCCTTGGCTTATACCGTCTTCATTATATGCCTGGTCTGTTGCAAGAGCCTCTTACGTGTCACCTACCTGTTGCCTCCCTGTCACCTACCTGCCTCCTACCTGTTCTCCTTGCCTCCAGTGTTTTGCTCCACTCCACCCACCTCTAGGTCGGAGTGGCTTTTCTAAAGAGCAGGTTCTCCTCCTGGACCTTCCCTACTTCCAAATCACTGTCAGGGTCAAGTTTGGACACATTGAGAGGCCCCTCAACCCACCTCCCCCACCTGCCTGGCCCTCCCTACCACCACCCCGGCACACCTAGGTACCAGTCACACAAACCACTAGTCTTTCCCCAAACCTGCCCTGCTGCTTCTTGCCTCTGTCTTTGCATGTACCGTTCGCTCTGTCCACTGTGTCCTTTCCCCTCTGTGTGCCTAGCCGTCTTGTCCTTATCACTCCAGACCCAGTGCTGCCTCTTCCAGGAAGTCTTCTGTGCTCTGGTACCTCTTGTTCATGCCTCCATCCCAGACCTTTTCACTACATGGTGGTTCACATCCGTCTCCACCACCAGACTGTGTCCTCAGAACTCACACGGGGTCTGGCGCGCAGTAGGGGCTCTGAAGAATGGATGAGATGTGTGTGGCTCTCAGATCGATTCTATGAGAAAAGATGTATTGGTAGGAGGGGAGAGGGGAGCTCCTTTGGTGGCCCTCTGGCCTGGGGGCATCAGTGCACAGAGGACAGACGTGACCCAGCAGGTGCCTGATGAACCGTCTCCTGGAGGGGCCCTTGTGGATGCCAAAGTCATGTTTCCATGTCTGTGGCAATAACACGTGGGAGGCAGCCTGCCTGTTCTCCCTGGAGCTGCTCAGAGTGATGGCTCAATGGGCAGAGCCTTCAGATATCAAAGCCTCCGTGCTAACAAGGTGTGAGAGTGAGATTTCAGTCTTTGGTCTTAAACTTCAGGGACCTCACCCCCTCTCCTCTTACCATCCCCCCTAGTCTTCATGCACCCCTGGCCTCAGGGTCCACAGCTTCTCACACAGAGCAGTGGAGTTAAGTGTTTGCCCTTGTGCTCAGTCATATCTGACTCTTTGAGATCCCATGGACTGTAGCCTGCCAGTATCCTCTGTGCATGGAATTCTCCAGGCAAGAATACTGGAGTGGGTTGCCATTTCCAACTCCAGGGGGTCTTCCTGACCCAGGGATCGAACCCACATCTCCAGGATTTCTGCACTGGCAGGTGGATTCTTTACCATTAGTGCCACCAAATGGGAAGCCCATTTGCCCCTGGAGCCCCCAGAGTGTGGCCAGACTCAGGACCCGGGGTCTTCATTCAAGTTCAAGCCCCAGCTCTTGGGAGCAGATGGAGCAAGTACACACATCGGCAGCACAGGGTCCATCTCTTAGCGTCTGCCCAGTCCCGGCCTCCCTGGATCATCCATCTCTGGGACCAACCAGGGTTTCTTCTGAAATGCACCTTTCTGCATTCGTTTCCTGGGGACTCTCTGGGGTCACGGGCCACTGACTGTGTCTTATAGGTGCAGCCTTTCCTGTCCCTCCTGTTCATCCCTAGTGCTGATACCCCAGATGCCAGCCCATGGCTGCCAGAACCTCCTGACCTGACAGCTGGGCAGGTGGTCATGTCACCATGGGGTGGGTGGGTGCCTGGAGAAGACTTTGAAGCCCACGTGCCCCCACATTGCCCCAAGCAACCACTTTCGCTTGTGGGCCCATTCTTCTCTCTCAGTCTCTCTCTCTCACACACACATTGGCAATAGGAATCAGGAGTGAGGCAAGATGCTGATGCCCATTGTGCAGAGAAGGGGCGGCAGGCAGGAGTCCAAATGGGTTTCTATTTTGTTGCTTAAGATCTCCTGGAAAGTTCCCCAACCTCCCTCACAGAACCTCCCAAAGCCTCAGGACGCCAGGACTTGGGCAGGGCTTCCCATTTCTCTCCTCATGTAATTTGATACAGCAAACATCTCCTTTGGCCTCAGTCGGATCTTCTCTTTCACACTGAAAGCCTGTTTTCCTCTTAAGTCCATTCTCTGCAGTGAAAATTGATGAGCTTCCTGGAAAGTGCATGATGGAGAGCCAGCCGCTTGAGAGAAGCTGTAGAGGCAGAGACGGTAACCAAGTGCTCAAGAATCAAGTGTCTGCATTCTATTACTAGACCAGAGACCTGAACGTTCACCTTTGTGTCTTCTGGGAAGGATGACATGCACGCACACACACACACCAGGGCTCTGCCCATGTCAGGATTCCATCACACTGCAACCTTCCCACTGGTGTGCTATCAGTAATGATCCTAAAACCTGCATTTCGGCAGCTGCCAGCCCCTGCCTTGGGGGCTGCCGTCCTCTTGCTGGGGCGGGTCAGGAATGACACATCTGCTCCCAGTCTCCTAGCACACATGGAAGAGCTCATATTACTTTCACATTTTAATCTCCATGTTGTCCCCCCAAAATATGTCCTCTGGTTCCCCTCGGCGTTCCTCTGGACCAGTTGACTGGTGAATCACCTAGACCCTGGCCTTTCCTGCTGGCTCAGATGGTAAAGAGTCTGCCTGCAATGCAGGAGACCTGGGTTGGATCCCTGGGTTGGGAAGACCCCCTGGAGGAGGGAATGGCAACCCACTCCAGTATTCTTGTGGAGAATCCCATGAACAGAGGAGCCTGGTGGGCTACAGTCCATGGGGTCGCAAAGAGCTGGACAGACTGAACGACACACACAACTAGACCCTAGGCCGTTCCCAGGGTGCCTGTAGCATGAGCTGAGCTTGCATCCTCAGTGCTCCTCGGTGCAATGTGGGCTCTGGGCGTCCTGGACTCCTCCTCCCTGGACGCCCTCTTCTCACCCAGCGTCCTGCTGAGGCATCCCGCTCCGGGGCGCCCCCTCCTGGAGAGACGAGGAACGGCAGGAAGGGAGCCGGTGCGGAGGGAGATGGGTGAGTCCCGGCCGGCAGGCAGGCGCATCTGAGAGACGGGGAGGAACTGGCACGCTTATTTTCATCGCGCTGGTGTCGCTGCGTCTCCCGCGGCACCACGCTGCTGTCGCTTCCTAAAATAACCTCGTTCTACAGGAAAAGGACAGATGAGGGTTTAAATTTAGCAACGGTGGGTGGGAGGGGGTGGGGGAATGCAGACTCTGGGATGTGGTGGGGGTGGCTTTGTCATTGAAGGAATTGGAAGCCGGTGATGCCTGCCTGAGGATTCTCATCCACAGGATAAGGGAACGTCCAGTCCGAGTGTAATGTCCAGTCTCGAAGACCTGCCCTGAATATCCGAGGTTCTCACCCCAAGTCTGCAGTCCTGCCCACCTCTCCAGCAGATGTGATCTTTTCCCTTAAACAGCTGAGTTGGAGTTACGCTGCCATTTCTCCACGGGCTTCTGCGTGGCTGGTTCTTTGGGGAGAGGCTGTTAAAGGGCAAAAGCAGAAGTTGAGAAAACCCCTGATTTTCAGTTAGGCTAATGAAGGGAGAGGAGTCTTCCTGGGTTCAGGGCACCACAGACAGGCACAGGAGCTGTGCAGAGACGGTGATGTCATTTGCAAATGACAGAAGGGCAAAGACCCAGGGTACCAGGCCCAGGTGACTCAGCTGCCTAGTCCCCCTGGAAGTTCGGCAGCCCCCCACAGACCACCCAGCCAATGACCCTCCACCTCGGGGCCCTGCTCTTCCTGCATCATCTGGCTGTTCTGAGGAAATTCCAAAGCACAGGGGGCCCCTCCTGCCAGGGATGGGATGGGGAGGACGAGTGAGGGAGGAGGGAGGAGGGATTGAGGGGCCCCCACCCCCACCCCCGTGTTCACATCTCAGCAACTTAGTGTTCAGCCTTGGTCTTCAGCTTCTCTAAGTGATGGCTCATCGGCTGTCGAAAAATTCCCTACTCCAAGGGTTCAGTGAGGCTTCAATACAATCACTTTTTCTGGCCCACGCCATGAACAGCCTAGGGGAGGCTTGCACCAACATGAAGCGCCAGTGCACCCACCAGTGCTTCAGAGTACTTCAGTCACTGGTTTGCCAAGACGTTCCTCAGGGGGAACTGCTCCAGGGACCCATGCATCGACCTCTTCAAGCACTACCATCAGCGTGTTCAAATCAGAAAGCAACAAAGGAGAAGGAGATTCCTATTGAAGGACTGGAGTTCATGGGTCATGGCAAAGAAAAGCCTGAAAGCTCTTCTTGACCTTGACAGTCACCTTGATAATGGACGTCTCAAATCAGGAAATTGAGGACTCTGGTTCTTGTCAGTTAGAACTGAAGATAGCATTGATTTGATTAATTTAGGAGGGAGGAGTTTCCTTTCCTTGATACTTTTCTCTGCTTGTAAAAGATGATGAAGGTCACTCTTTGCTTTGAGATTTCTGGCTTTGGCATCTCAGCAGGAACTCAGAGTTCTAAATAATGGGATTTTGGGGGATTATGGTTGTAATATTTGGTCTGGGGTCAGTTTTAAATATATCTTGTATGAAAACACTCGTAACCTTGTCAGGATGTCTAAGATTGCCTGACCTTGAGTCATTCTTTGAAGGACATTACAGACACTCTACTGGGGTTGTTTGTTCTTGGAAGTAACTGGTTAAGATCTTTTTTCTCTGAGGGAACTAGTGCTTCAGAAAGGGTTCCCAGCACAACAGTTGCAGTCAATGCTTGGGTGTGCAGTTTTATTTTTATATAGTAATTTAACTGTTAAGGTTGCTGGTGGACTGGGTTAGCCAAGAGGAAGACAGCTTTCAGTTCCCTATCTTAACAAGAGGTGTCAGAGCTCATATTAAGATGTAAAAGCTCCATGCATGCTGCATTTCAGAGTTCATGGTGTAGTTTAGGAATTAAAATCCTTGAAGTGGCTACAGAGAAAGATCCTAAATTACAAAGATTTGTGGCTGCCAGCTTCCAACCGAAGTCAATGAATTAAGTCAACCTGTATATCATGAAAATGCAAAAATGCTGCCTATGATTAAATGGGAGCAGGGTGGGGTGGAAAAGAGGTCGCTTTATTTGCCTTGTTTATTCACCCTGCCCTGTAATGCCTGTAATCATGAAAAGGAATAAATTGTAATATTTAGTTTAAAAAAATCACTTTTTCTGATGCAACTCAGAATTGGCATACTATACGTGAGCTATCATTATCATTAATTATCGGGAGATGGGCAGGTGATGAAGGGGTCTTTAAAACATGGCCTCTAGGGGATGGCAGGGTCCCTGAAGTTCCTTGCCCCTCCGCCACTGCCCCCAGACTCCAGCAGCATGGCTTGTAGTGTTTGTTTTTTGTTTTTTCAAAAAAACCCAAAAAAACGGTGATTGTATTTATTTCTAATGTATATTTATTTATTTTTTTGACTGTGCTACGCAGCGTGTGAGATCTTAGTTCCCCCGACTATGGATGGAACTCGCAACCCCTGCATTGGAAGCACAGAGTCCTAACCACTGGACTGCCATGGAAGTCCCCGGGCTTGTGGTTTTGAATACTTGCTTTGGAGCTAGACATGCCTGGGTTTTTCTTCACTTGGCAGCTTACAGAAGATTATTGTGGCTAATGCCCATAGGACAGTGGCTATTTTCATAGTTTTCAGGCTGATTTAGATAAGCACAGGGTTGTTTTTTTGAATAGGTGGGGGTCTTAGCCACAGGAGTGGCTAAGGTCTCAATAATCAAGAGCTCACTGGCTTTCAGGTGCTGACTTCATGGTCAGAGGTGACCTGGTACTGTAGATAAGGCAAAAATAGAGGTTAGTTCACCAATAGATGGTCTTTCCTCAAAATGGGCAGGATCTTAGCTTTAAATGCTTTCCAGGTAAGACTCTGGTGGACAGAATAGCTTTCTGTTCTGTAGTGGTTTTCAGTCACATTTTTACGTTGAGCCTCAGACCTCAAAAGGAGCTGAGTTTCATGTTTCACTCCTGACTGTGTCCGTGAGCCTTGTGCAGGCCCAGGTAGGCCATACCTGTCCTTGTGAACTGTGTCAATCAGGGACAAGGGAATGAAGTGTGGAGAGTTCAACATCTCAGGTCAGCAGGCTTACCCACAAGCTCTCAAGAGATACCCACAACTATCTCCAGGTAGCTCTGGAATTGTAACCTTTATCATCCTTTGGTCAAGTATATAATCCTTGGCCAAGAATTTGAATTTTGGACTGTGGTTTTAGCTACTAAGGGTGGTATATTTTTTTCCAGTGAAGAGAGCAGAAGGGGTGAGGATTGCTTATTTAATAGAGGCTATGCCATTTTCATGTGATGATAGAAAAATAATTGAACTTATTACCCTTATATATACAAGGGCTTGTGAAGGCAATTCAAGAGGGCACTGTCTGGAATATTCTGAGTCTAAGAAGCATGCTTGTTCAAGGAGTCAAGAAAGAACTGCTTAAAAACAACAACAACAAAATAACAATATAGGATTTGGCCTTTCTCCTGGAATAAGAAAGGTGAAGCTTTTGAAGGAAAGATATTGGGTTGGCCAAAAAGTTCATTCAGAGGTTTTGTATGATGTTACAGAAAAAATTTGAATGAACTCTTTGGCCAATGCAGTGCAAAGCTGACTGAGCTGGAGGAAGACATCAATTTCTTTGGAAGAAAGGTCTGTGGTCTTTAAAGACAGGCTAGACACATACGGGAGGAGTGTGAGGTCTTGTAGGTCAGGCAGGTTTGAAAAGGAATAGGAGGTTTATGCGGGTGGGTCTTATAATTAGAGGCTTAGAGAAAGGAGGCCATTGACAGGATCAGGTTAAAAAAAAAAGGGTGTTCAGTTGCATCTGACTTTGCAACTCCATGGACCTCAGCCTTCCAGGCTCCTCTGTCTATGGAATTTTCCAGGCAAGAATTTTGGATCGGGTTGCTGCGCCTTCCTGCAGGGGATCTTCCCCACCCAGAGACTGAACCCATGTCTCCTGCATTGCAGGCAGATTCTTTATCGCTGAGTGACTGGGAAAGCTCCCAGAAGAAAAATACAGCGGACTTAATAAGTGAAGGAAATTCGCTGACCTCTAGGTGGGAGTGTGGTAGCAGTCCATCTACCCAAGGTGGAATAAAGATGCCCTGCTGTTGTGAACTGTGAGCTAGTCCAGCTGAAAGCTCACCCTGCGGTCAGTGGAGATAACTCCACCTGGGAAAGTCTCAGTAAGTTCACGGGGGTGGCGGTAGGGGGTTACTGTGACTGCCTGTAGCGCCCGAGCTCTCCCGCTCTGCTCTTCAATCTGACAGTCAACTGTTTACAGCACTAATTTTTTGACCTACTAACCTCAGCCTTTCCAACAAGGTCAAACTGGTCTCCTGAGGAGGTGTAGAATTTAGTATAGAGACAGTGAAGTAATTTTAATATTTTGATGTTAAGGTAAGCTTTGTGTTTCCAACTTGAAATATCTGTTGATTTCAGAATTATGATTTTTAGTTGAAAGGTGTAAGACACTGCTCGAGTTTATAAACAAATAAATAAAAAATTTAAACAAACAAAAAAATATAAACAAATAAAGTATTAGAACATTTAAGAGAAATCAAACAGCAGAACACAATGAATTAATAATTAGATTTACAAGAGCTGCATATGTTTTAAGAACAATTTTGTGAGTATTTTTAAGTCTACCTTGCCAGGCAATTGAAGTGCACAAAGGGAAAAAAAAATCAGATATATCAAGCATATGAATATGGTGTAAAACAGTTATGGAAATTTTACTAACTTTGTAGATGAGACTAATTGCTAAGGAAATGTAAATCTGTTCAAGTTGATTTAAACATCAATCAAAGAACAAGTGGAAGCAATGTTTGAAAAATTAGTACATTTATAAATAGAATTTCAAGATTTGTAAGTTGAATTTCAAGGTTTGAGCAAAACTGTGTTTTATACTCACAATTTTAATAAATTAAACAGTAATTTAAACCCCAGGTAACTGGAAATAGACTTATCTATACACATCAGATGTCACAAATATTCACAATGATGGGGTGTTTGTGGAGCTGGTATCAGTGATTGGATCAGAAACTGATGGATCCAAAGAAATCTGAGATGGAGAAGGCATGGCCCAGACAAGACAGGGTGTGTCAGAAGGGCGCTCACATCCAGGATACAATGGAGTGCTGTGCTGTGCTAAGTCGCTTTAGTTGTGTCCGACTCTGCAACTTTATGGACTGCAGCTTACCAGGCTCCTCTGTCCATGGCACTCTCCAGGCAAGAATACTGGAGTGGGTTGCCATGCCCTTCTCCAGGGGATCTTCCCCATCCAGGAAGGGTCCCTTCCCCATCCAGGAAGGGTCCCTCAGATCTGCAGTAGAGTTCACAAGGAAACAACTGGAAACTAGATGATCGAAACAACGCTACCAACCTCTTGTTTGGAAAATCCTTTCGATGGAGTTTAATTTCATCATCTCTGGTACAGCCTCACGATGGTAACCAGAAGAGTGGACTGTTGTAGAGATTGTCAGCTTCTCACCAAACCTTAGTCCAGCCCACGGTAGGCATTCAGCTATATTATATTTCCCAGCTTCCTCTGCTACAAAGGTGGCCAAAAGGCTGAGCCAATGGAGTGTGGGCTTGACATCACATCAGCCTCCTGACTGGAGAATCCCTTCAACAAAGTTTAATTTCATTGTCACTGGCATAGCCTGACCTTGAAACCAATATTTCCCCCATTATTCATTTTCTCTAGTTACTTCTAAACCTTTATTTTATTATGGGATTTGGCTGCATAGCCACAGTCTCTTACCTGCAATCCTGAAATCCACAAAATTTTGAAAACCAAAAGTGTTTTTAGGTAGTCTAATGCCAAAATTCATCTTGCCCTGAAGAGGTGAAATTATTTATAGAGTTCATTTCAAAGTAAATATTCATATTTTTTTCTGAAGAAGTATTTTAATTAATTAATTAATTTGATGCTTTTGAACTGTGGTGTTAGAGAAGACTCTTGAGAGTCCCTTGGACTGCAAGGAGATTAACCAGTCATTCTTAAGGGAAATCAGTCCTGAGTAGTCATTGGAAGGACTGATGCTGAAGCTGAAACTCCCATACTTTGTCCACCTGATGCAAAGAACTGACTCATTGGAAAAAGACCCTGATGCTGGGAAAGATTGAAGCCAGGAGGAGAAGGGGATGACAGAGGATGAGATGGTTGGATGGCATCACCAACTCGATGGACATGAGTTTGAGCAAACTTTGAGAGATGGTGAAGGACAGGGAAGCCTAGCATGCTGCAGTCCAT